AATATATGAGAGAGAATTATTTTTAAGCTACCTTAAGCATTTTGAAAGCCACTGGCAAAAGAGCCTTTAAAAGTCCTTAACGACTGTGAATTTTCCTATTTTTTATTAAAAATGTGTTTTACAAAACTTCAAAAGAGAATTACCTTTAATTATGGGTTTCTTCGCCCAACGGAAAAGGACACCACGTCCCTTCTCAGGACCAATAAAGACTGCTTCATATAGTGCCAATGCACAGTACTTGTGGTAATCAGCAAAAGAAGTTATCACTTCCTTTATATCTCTGGGAAAACTAAAATCTGACAGTGTTTATTTGCTGATCTCTAGTTAGAACTGGAGGTCTTTAAAAAGAAAAAACGAGCTCCTTAGAACAAAATTACTCTCTTTATCCTCTTTTTTTCTTTCTAACAGATAACTACCCAGTTTCACTAGCTAATGTAAAATTAAACACCTAAATGGGAGTGAAAGAAGTTATCTAATCATAGCTATAAAGAATTCCTAGGCTGTTATGTCCTTATGAATAGGGACCTGTCTTTTTTCTTTTTTAAAAACATTATTTATTTATTTTTATTTTTGGCTGTGTTGCGTCTTCGTTGCTGCATGCGGGCTTTCTCTAGTTGTGGCGAGCAGGGTCTACTCTTCGTTGTGGTACGCAGGCTTCTCACTGAAGTGGCTTCTCTTGTTGTGGAGCATGGGCTCTAGGTGCACGGGCTTCAGTAGTTGCAGCATGCGGGCTAAGCAGTTGCAGTGCACGGACTCTAGGGCACACATGCTTCAGCAGCTGTGGCTCATGGGCTCTAGAGCACAGGCTCAATAGTTGTGGCGCACAAGCTTAGTTGCTCCATGGCACGTGGGATCTTCCCGGACCAGGGATCAAACCCATGTCCCCTGCATTTGCAGGCGGATTCTTAACCACTGTGCCACCAGGGAAGTCCTAGGAACCTGTCTTAACTGTCTTTACTTCTTAGAATATAGAACTCTGTCTCACCCATAGGTGAACTTAAAATATTTTCTTAAAAACAATGCATAGGCAAAAGGTCAGTCACCAATGTTTTGTTTGAATCCATTACCAATTCAGTCATTGACTTCAATGGCCTTGTAAAAGTTACTTGATTTCTAGATGTTTCCATGTGTTTCCTTAATATGAAAAATGTTAGAGGCACTAATTTACTAATGTTTTGAATAGTAGAAGCAAAAGTTGCAATATATTTAAGATAACTAACTAAGCACTCAGTTATAGCCAGATGGTTCCAACATTTCCCAGAATATGAGGCTCGTTCCCAGCACAAAATCACTGTTCCCTAAACTGGAGTTGTGGAATGAGACAATCACAGAACAATAAATTGAGTGAAAAGCTTTCTAGGAGCCATGGCAAAAAGAGCAATGGTGTTCCAAGTGTCTAATAAGAAAAAGCACTTAGGGAAGAGAGGAATTTTTTCATCCTGGTGCTAAATACAAGAAATAACTTGTTGGATGCACACTAATATAGTAGAAAATATCTTGGGGAACTTCCCTGGTGGCACAGTGGTTAAGAATCCGTCTGCCAATGCAGGGGACACGGGTTCGAGCCTTGGTCCAGGAAGATCCCACATACTGCAGAGCAGCTAAGCCCATGCACCACAACTACTGAGCCTGCGCTCTAGAGCCCGTGTGCCACAACTACTGCAGCCCAAGCGCCTAGAGCCCGTACTCCACAACAAGAGAAGCCACTGCAAGGAGAAGCCCCCGCACTGCAACGAAGAGTAGCCCCCGCTCGCCGCAACTAGAGAAAGCCCACACGCAGCAACAAAGACCCAACGCAGCCCAAAATAAATTTTTAAAAAAAGAACATCTTTTTTTACTACAAGTTGTAGTCCAAGATATTTTCTTTCTTCTTTTTTTTTAATTTTATTTATTTATTTTGGGCTGCATTGGGTCTTTGTTGAGGCACACGGGTTTCTCTAGTTGCGGCGAACGGGGGCTACTCGTTGCGGTGCACCGGCTTCTCGTGGTGGCTTCTCTTGTTATGGAGCACGGGCTCTAGGCACACAGGTTTCTGTAGTTGTGGCTCGCGGGCTCTAGAGCCCAGGCTCAGTAGTTGTGGAGCACGGGCTTAGTTGCTCCACAGCATATGGGATCTTCCCAGATCAGGGCTCGAACCCGTGTTGCTGCATTGGCAGGCGGATTCCTAACCGCTGCACCACCAGGGAAGTCCCTAAAGATGTTCTCAAAATGGCTATTTTTTTTAAACAGACTTCAAATTTAATTTAGCCACAGTGAAATTATTTCACTAGTAACATGATTCAATGCTTAAGCAGAAATAGCTTAAAGACTCCTATAATAGAGAGAGAAAATCTACATAAAATATATCTGATATTAATATAGTCTCAGTTAAGCTTCTGACAGGCTAATTCATCTGCCATGGATTATTCATTCAAGGCCTTCTGAAACAGGGATAAGTAAACTTCCATTCTTTTGGTCAACAAAATACTGTAATAAAGTTGTATTATTTTATTTTTCTTGATGATCATTTCTATCTTTATATTTGATATAGATGGTCCCCACTTACAATTTAGACTTAACGATTTTTCAACTCTACAATGGTGTGAAAGCAATACGCATTCAGTAGAAACCATACACTGAATTTTGAATTTTGATCTTTTCCAGGACTGGCGATAAATAGTACCAAACTCTCTCATGATGCTGGGCAGTGGCAGCAAGCCACAGCTCCCAGTCAGCCACGCAATCATCGGGGTAAACAATCAGTACACCTACAACCATTCTGTTTTTCACTTTAGTATAGTATTTAATAAATTACTTGAGATAGCCAATACTTTATTATAAAATAGGCTTTGTGTTCTATGGTTTTGCCCAGATGTAGGCTAATATAAGTGTTCCAAGCATGTTTAAGGTAGACTAGGCTAAGCTTTGATATTCAGTAGGTTAGGTGTATTACATGCATTTTCGACTGACAATATTTGCAATTTATGATGGGTTTATCTGGATATAACCCCACCATAAGTCAAGAAGATCTGTAATTATAATCTCAACAGTAGTTCTATAATTTTAATCACTAATGACAAAAGTAATGCTGGGTTTTGTTATATCAATAAAATTTATTCTCAATACCAATACTGCAAGTTCTTTATCTTTGGACTTTAAAGTTAGTATTGCAGAAAAAACAGAATCAACAAAACTACTGAAATTTTTACAATTTTCAATTAATGGAATCATTTGTTTGTCAAAACCTTAGCAATAAGATAAATTTCCAAAAACACAACAGTAGTTTGTTTTTTGGTTTTTGGGTTTTTTTTGTCCGGTACACGGGCCTCCCACTGTTGTGGCCTCCCCCATTGCGGAGCACACGCTCCGGACGCGCAGGCTCAGCATGGCTCACGGGCCCAGGCGCTCCGCGGCATGTGGGATCTTCCCGGACCGGGGCACGAACCCGTGTCCCCTGCATCGGCAGGCGGACTCTCAACCACTGCACCACCAGGGAAGCCCAACAGTAGTTTTTTGACATCTTAAATCATCCCAAAAGTAAGAAACTAAAGGTAAATACTAAATGTTCCTCTTAGGAAAAAGGGCTTTTTTTCCCTATCATATTGAAACCCAAGGACATTGTGAGACTGACAACTGATATAAAACCATAGACAATGCTAAACTGAATTTTTTGACTAATATAAAGAAAGGACACTCTGTAGCAGGGGTTGGTAAACTTTGGCCCAATGTTTGTTTTTTAAAGATTTACTGAACACAGATAAGCCCATTCATTTACGTGTCGTCTATGGCAGAATTGAGTAGCTGAGAAAGAGACCACATGGACCCCAATTCCTAAAATATTTACTATCTGTCCTTGACAGAAAAAGTTTGCTGACCCCTGCTCTTTACTAATATATGCAAAGATACTCATATGCTTCAGAGACTAAATAGTTGTTAAGGTTGCACCGTTATGAAAAGGGAGAACCAGACTTGTAGTCCCATATAGATATCCCTTCCCTCCGCAAAGAGAAGTTATAGAAAAGACCAACCAACACTGTTATGGAGAGATATTCTGCTCAAGAGCCTAGACTGAGATACCAAAGAATGCACCTTCTGGGTGAACAAAAAATGAAATTACATAGTATAAGTGATATTTTGTGTATTTAGATATTTTATGTTTTTCTACCGTAAAAAGAGGAAATAGTGAAATCCACTGGTGAAATTTGCCATGAATAGTTTATGTAACCAATTTGATGATTTAAAATATATCTAAACAACATTAGAATTCTCATATTATCCACCTAGATTTGATATCTATATACCTATTTATATTGCTTAAAGTTCTTAGTAATTAAGTTACATAGTATTAAATTTCAATTTAAAGTAATTTTAATGGCTGCTTTCTCCTATAACTCGATAAACTTTATAATGTGCCTCTCTATTTATATTCTTTCTTATTATCTATTTCCATAAAGGATCCTACCCAAAAAGGTTATGAATGCAGAGTCTGGGGAAAGGGACAAAAGATGTAAATGACAAAATAAACACGAAAAAAATAATAAACTTGTCAACATCTTTCCAACTTTATATAGTTATGCTCTGCAGTCAAAAGGCATAGATTTTTTTTTTTTTTTTGCGGTATGCAGGCCTCTCACTGTTGTGGCCTCTCCCGTTGCGGAGCACAGGCTCAGGACGCACAGGCCCAGCGGCCATGGCTCACAGGCCCAGCCGCTCGGCGGCAGTGGGATCCTCCCAGACCTAGGCACGAACCCACATCCCCTTCATCGGCAGGTGGACTCTCAACCACTGCGCCACCAGGGAGGCCCAAAAGGCATAGATTTTAATACTTCATCTGGAATACTTCAGAAAAAGTCAATTGATTTACAATGTGACAAATGACTTTTTCCTGGTCCTAGACATACACAATTGCCTGAAATGGGAGAAATTATGCAAGCTTTTAGTATCAGGAACTTTGCCTAAACTGTGTTATGAACGCCTAGAAAAAGGTAGTTTAATAACATTCTTTTGAGAAAGACAAGCACCTGGAAGATGATTTAGAGCAATCTCTGGCCACACTTGAGCCTGAAGATGTTGGTTCAAGATCTTCGCTTTGCCTTCTTAATTCTTTCTCTCTGTTCATTTCTTCCTCTTTTTCTCTTGCTTCTGAAAAGATTATAAAATTTTTTCAACAGTTAGGCTTCAAAATTTGTTATTATTTAAAATGCTATAAATTAACATAGTTACAAAGATGTAACATAGGCATGTTACCAGTAACAGCAAAAAAAGTTTTCAATCTAAATGCCCAACACTGAGAAAATAACTGAAGTTTACTGTGTATCAACATAATATGAAATACAGCCAATAAAAATAGTGACAGAGGAAAAATCCCTGGCAGTCCAGTGGTTAAGACTCAGTGCTTTCACTGCAGTGGCCTGAGTTCAATACCTGATCAAGGAACTAAGATCCTACAAGCCATGCAGCAGAGCCCCAAAAAAAAAGAAATAGTAATGGAAAATGTACAAATCTGAGAAAATATAAACAGATATGCTAAGCAAAATTAAAACGTGAACAGTATATGAACCATGACTGTACTATGTAAAAAGATGTGGCAAGTGACCAGAAGAAAGCATTCAAAGGTAAGATTTTAGGTAATCTCACCTTTTAATGTTTTAAACCAAAAACTCAGTACTTCATTCCTTTCTGAATTTCCCAAACTGGATTTTTGGTCAGAGACTTCCTACCAAAATTATGAGGAAAGGTGAATTACATTTAGTTTCCAGAGTTGTTTACCTTGGAAAGACAAAAATATTTTATCCAAGGAAATCTAATCTTTCTCGTCTGATAATCTCACTCAACAACTGGGGCGGAAAGCACATAGGAAGGAAATTAATTATATGAATAAGGCTTGTTCTCAATTGCCACCATCCTCAATAACCTGAGATAATCTTTAACATTTACTTCTTAAGTTAATAATGAAGAATAATACACCCAAAGTTAAGTAGTATCAAAGGGCACTTATTAATTGGAATGTTGTACTCTTTAGGTCTTTTGTTGCTAGGATGTAGAGGATGAGTAACAAGGAGATGGGCAGCAACTAGCATCAACAACTAGTCTTTTGTTTCAAACATGAAAGATAAAACTCTCCAGGAAGAGGTAAGGCATAGCTCAGGTTAATTTTTTTGTGCTCTCCACTGGGCTGGGTTAGGAGTTAACAATTCGGCACTCTGATGCTGGAGGAGGCTGAAAACAATAAGAGAAGGATAATGCCCAAATTTAAGAGTGAGCCTGCTGGGCTCCGACCTTCATCCTGCTCCTCCAGACATTCCCTCCATTCCCTCCAGGGTGAGGGGGGATTGGAGAGTGAAGTGGGGAAGGCCACACTTGGACTGTAGGCTCAGGTCTTAGGGGCAGTTCTGACCCTAATCAGGAAACGATACTAAGGCACACATTACTAGCCACCTACACAACAGCCACTTCTCTCTTTCTCCTTGCTAAGAAAACCACAGTTCTCCCTAGGTGAGAAACAACACTGTGTTTCAGGAGCTGCTGGGCCCCTCCCTGCACAGGGGGGCTGAAGTTTGATTCCAGGTCAACCATAGTGCTCTTGCAATGGCTGTTTTTGCAACTGATGTGCCACACTAATACCGGCTAATATCATGTGAGGGGAAGTCAGCTGAAGGTACATTTGAGACAGGTTTTCTTGCTTCTAAAAAGTGTTACACAAAAGTCTCCTTTCAGCCTGTGGAGGTGGTCACCTGCATGTAACAAAATTTAGCTCACAAAATTTTGAGACATGAGGACAGTCTGCTTTAGGACAAGCCAACACTCTAAAGCTGGCAAAGCAGAAAAAAGGGGAAAAAACTTCATGTCCTTCATATCAGGACGCAGGAGACAGAACAGCCCCACTCCAGAGTTCTTGTCATAGTGCAATACTAAACCTTTCTTATTTAAGCAATTCTTTATTAGGTCTTCTATGACTTCTTTGAAAGTAACCATTAGCATCTTAATATCAACCTTAATTTAACAAAAATAATAGCAACTAATACATGGAGCTTACTATGCTATGTACTAGGTATTGTTTTAAGCATTTCCTGTAAATTAACTCCTTTAGCGCAGATGTAGTGAATGGACTTGAGCACATGAGGGGAAAGGGTAAGTTGGGACGAAGTGAGAGAGTGGCATGGACTTATATATACTACCAAATGTAAAATAGCTAGCTAGTGGGAAGCAGCTGCATAGCACAGGGAGATCAGCTCGGTGCTCTGTGACGACCTAGAGGGGTGGTCTAGGGCGGGTGGGAGGGAGACGCAAGAGGGAGGAGATATGGGGATACATGTATATGTATGGCTGATTCACTTTGTTATAAAGCAGAAACTAACACACCATTGTAAAGCAATTATACTCCAATAAAAATGTTAAAAAAAAAATTAACTCCTTTAGTCTTCATAACAATCCCTGAAGTAGAAACTTTTTTTCTTCACCTTTATTGGAGTATAATTGACAAATAAAACTGTGAGATATGTAAAGTGCACAATGTGATGATTTGGTACAAAAATACATTGTGATAGAATTCTCCCCATGGAGTCAATGAACACAACCATCACCCCACAAATTTACCTTTTTTGGGGGGGTAATAACATTTAAGTTCTACTGTCCTAGCAAATTTCAATTATACAATACAGTTTAAGTAGATACTACTATCCTCACCTTATAGTTGACGAACCCAAGGCAGAGAAGTAACAGAGCTATTAAGCCTCAAAGCAGTGAACTGAGGCTCCACAACTGTAACTTTCCTTGATGTGACCAGACTTTCTAGAGACTGTAAAATTATCCAACAACTACCACCTACCTTATAAAACAGTGAGCCTGCCTCTCTCTCCAATGGGCCATAAAGTACAGCCCTTTATTGCTTACTTGTCACCAGACTATCTGGAAACTATGACCCACCCACCTAACTACAGTTTCTTCCCAGGAGATGAATACTCCAAACTTTTTGCCCCATCCTGGTGAAGATCTAACTTTTTAAATTAAAATTTAACTTTTTTTTAACAATAGTAAGGATTTTCTATTCAGAGAGGCTTCTGCTGTCACCTGCTGCTTCATAAAAGCAAGAAGAAAAAAAAAGAAAAGACATTTTTGAGGAAAAAATATATTTTTTTTCCTCATTGTTGACTGAGGACAAACCAAAATGAAACATAATTCAATAAACTGTAGCTCCCTGACCAAGGGGATCATTTTCACATATTTTTACTGAATGTAGGACCAAGTACACTGTAAACACTGTAAAAATGCTCCATATGTTCCCTTAACAAAAGTGAATTAACCTACCACCCATCGCCTCATTTTATTCTTCCAAGTACCTCATTTTATTGTTAACTCTCGACTCTCAGAGAGTTACCAATTTTGGATAGCCATTTCTGCAAAAGCACTCCAGGTGTATGCAACTCTCATTTAGGTTAACAGCAAACTATCCAAGGACTTGCCTGGTGGCACAGTGGTTAAGAATCCGCCTGCCAATGCAGGGGACACAGGTTCAATCCCTGGTCCACGAAGAGCCCACATGCCGTGGAGCAACTAAGCCCGGGTGCCACAACTACTGAGGCTGCGCTCTAGAGCCCACGTGCCCCAACTACTGAGCCCGCGTGCCACAACTACTGAAGCCTGCGCACCTAGGGTCCCTGCTCCGCAACAAGAGAAGCCACAGCAATGAGAAGCTCCCACACTGCAACTAGAGAAAGCCTGTGTGCAGCAACCAAGACCCAATGCAGCCAAAACATATACTTAATTAATTTTTAAAAAGTAAAAGATTAACAAAAAAATTTGAAACATTATTCCCTGACATTTTACATAACACATATTTTATTGAAGTTTTACAGTAACTCATCCTTTCTGTTAGAGCATTTAACAACCAAAATTTCACATCCATATACACAGACAATTAAACTTGCCATTAAAAAGGACCAAAAGGGCTTCCCTGGTGGCGCAGTGGTTGCGAGTCCACCTGCCGATGCAGGGGATACGGGTTCGTGCCCCAGTACGGGAGGATCCCACATGCCGCGGAGCGGCTGGGCCCGTGAGCCATGGCCGCTGAGCCTGCGCGTCTGGAGCCTGTGCTCCGCAACGGGAGAGGCCACAACAGTGAGAGGCCCGCGTACCGCAAAAAAAAAAAAAAAAAAAAAAAAAAAAAAAAAGGACGAAAGTTATTTTCCTCAAGTCTGATGTCAAAGCCCAGGAAAAGATTCCAATACCAATCATTAAATAAAATATGCCCATATAAGAATTTGTTAACTTTTAAGAAAAGTAAGTCAAACTTTGGATTCTTGTGTTTAGATCAGGGGTAGAAAAAGCAGTCCATATCCAAGACTGTAACACTAAATCAAGGAAGTTCAACGCATTTAATTCATCCACAAATATCAATAGGAGTACATGGTCTTGAGATAATTTTTCAAAATTTTAAAAATGTAATAACTCTTTACTGCAATTCCTCTTAGGTGCTAAATGCATACATACTTCACTAAGAAGAATGACAGGAACTAAAAGTGATATTTATAACACTGCTGTTTAAAAAGTACTCTGCCCAACATCTTAATTCCTTCAAGAATCTTCTAAGAGAGATCTTATTATTATTGCCACCAAACTGATGGGGAAATTAAGGATCTGAAATTTGAAAATCCATCCAATGTCATTCATCTAGTGGAATGTGGGGCTAACCCTTAAACCTGCATCCTCCAACTCCAAATCCCAAACTCTTTACTATTTATCATGCCATTTAAAAACATTCTCCAAAGATGCAGGATTTATTTTTTTTAAAGGCAGTATTGCAGTTTTAAATTCAATTCAATCTTCACAAATATATATTGAGAACCTATCTTGGAAGGCATGGTACTGGGGACTATAAAACTTAAGTAGGAGAATAAGACAATCCCTATTCAAAGCATTTTGTAACACACACTGAAAGAGGTAAACACAAGAAAGTTATACTGTAACAGTATAAGTGTTCACTAAAACATTTAAAAATTAAGTGTATAACGCATTTGTGTATATGCTGCAGATAGCATGCCTTTACATATTGTTTGATGATATTAAATTATTTAATATTTTTAGGTGTAGTAACAGTATTTCGGTTAAGATCTTTCCAAATCCTTATCTCTTAAAGACATACTAAAATATTTATGGGTGAAATAATGTACCTAGGATTTGTATCAAAGTAATCTGAGAGGAGAAGTAAATGGAACTAACACTGGCCATGAACTGTTACAGTAGTTAAATCTGTGTGGTAGGTATACAGGAGTTCATTACTATGTTACACTGCATGTAGAAATGAAAGTGTTTTTTAAAAAAATACATACTATATGTAGATAGCTGTCTTTCCACCACACATACACAACAAAAACTGTTATTCTTCCAAAAACCAAAAACATTTCATATCAAGTGCACTTCCCAAATATGAGATATTACTGCTACATAATTTATCATTTTAAAACCAACAATGACAATTGCTGGAATAACATTCACTTAAATTTTTCCAGGAGTCCTGTCTCTGGCTTCTAGCCCCTTCTGCTCTATCAGGTTACATCTATCCTTTCTCTAGTGTAAGAATGATCTGAATCAGATCTAAAGAAAGCAGTAGAGGAGTCAGTCTCCTTCTAAGACCCTGAGGTGGTATCTAGAATTGCTAACCACCTGGTATCAAACCACACAGTCTGGAAGTTAAGGCCTTCATTAAATGTCTGATACAACTTATTAATGCAGAGATTCAACAGCAGCAGCCACATTCACTGTATGTCTCAATTTTCTATACTGTCTGGGTCAACGGTCAGTGGTGTACACAGCTCTGAGAGCCACCTCTCGCCCAGCCTTCCAAATACTGGTTCCGCTGTAAGCAGGAAAGAAAAAAATGAAATGAGAATCAGATAGAGGGGGAGAGAAGAGGTAATAAAGAAACCACTATTCTGATTCTTATAAATTAATTTTGAATCCTTGTTTGTTCATAGCTCACACTACTAAAAGATTTTAGCTCTCAGACCTTTTTATCCTGTTTAGATGCAACTTTGATCGTGTTTAAAAAAACAAAGACAAAAAAGCGTCTGCTTCCAAAGGAACCAGCACATATGGTCTTTTAACAATTTTGAAATTTTTTTCAGTCTTATAATTTTATAACTGGTAGGACACTGGTGTAAGCTGGATACAGTATTTAATCCTATAAAAGAGCAAGTAACTGAACTTCTTACCCAGTGTTTTCCGACTTCTTTCCACTGCTGTTCTTCGAGTTTGTTCAAACATTGCTTCCAAATCAAATGTGCGAGCTTTTTTCCCTAAAACAGAAATAAGTAGCAGACTATGATTTTCCTGAACTAAGTTGGCCAAACTTTAGGTACTAAATAAATACTTACTGACTGACCAATAACCACTTAAGTCTACCTAATTTATAGTAGGGCTACAAAATAACCACAAAATATCAATGAAGAAAGAGTTTACTTCCCAGGGAATTTTTAATTACAATCTCATCGCTAAATAACATTAACCAGCCAACTTTCCCATCCTCCTGTAATTCACCTAGACCCTACTCCTTGAAACTACAACACTGGTGTGCTAGGCAGAATAGAGAATATTCATATCCTAATCCCTGAAACCTGAGAATATATTACATTACAGGGTAAAAGGGACTCTGCAGATTAATTAAGGTTATGGACTTAAAAACTGGGAGCCCTTACATGCAAAGATGCAGAACAGATATAGCAGAAGTCAGAGAGACCTGAAACTTGAGAAGAGCTGCAGTTCCCTTGAAGATGAAGGGGGCAAGAAGACAAGTGATGCAGGTATCTAAAAGAAACTCCCACCAGACAGCCAATAAGGAAATAAGGAAACCACAAGGAACTGACATTCTGACAACCTGAATCTGCTTGGAAGCAATGTTGTATGTGCTTTTACTGACTTTTTTTTTTTTTAATAATAATACCTATTCTATGTTTGTTTGCCAGAATATGGTAAAAATGGCTTTCTTACACACTACTGACTTTGTTATAAACTGAAACCACCTTTCTGAATAGCATTATGACAATATATATCAAGAAGCTTTAAAAGCTATATGCCCAATTTTTTTTACTCTTTAATATCTGTATTTTTATCAAAGTAGTCCCTCTTTTAGAAATCTACCCTATGGAAATATGCATAAAACTCCTTTTACAAAAGAAGATAAAAGAGTTATTTACAAAAATGTTTATTTTAGTATTACTGATAAAAGTTAGAAACTATGTGAGATAAAGTTAAAAATATTACAAATTATAGCATTTCTATCTACTATTCAACCATTAAAAATCATGTTTTGGAAAAGCATTTTATAATATGGGAAAATCCTCAAACTATTAAGAATTAAACAAATTCTATATAATTAAGAATATAAAACTGTACATATATACAATCTTACAACAGGAAAAACTGGAAAACAAACTAACTTTTAAGTCCTGATTTCTAGATCATGAAGTTACGAATGATTTTACTTTCTTCATTCTTATTTATTGGGTTCTTTATATTTTCCTGCTATTTACATGTGTTCCTTTTGAAATTGGGGAGAAAGCTATTTAAAAGAACTGAAACAAAAATAAGTACCAAAATACTACAGAAGTATACAGTACTTTTGTAGCCATGACCACCTAGGAGAGAGTAAATATGTTTTGTAGCTCAAGACGTTACCAGAATAAATGAATGTATGAATGAACAAAAGAGACACTGAAATGAAGATTCTGGAGTAGAAAAACTGGAATCAAAAAAGACTAACCTACAAGGACCTACTGTATAGCACAGGGAACTATACTCAATATTTTGTAATAACCTAAAAGGGAAAAGAATATACATATATAAGTGAATATATATAACTGAATCACTGTGCTTATTTTGTAATAAAAGGGAAAAGAATATACATATATAAGTGAATATATATAACTGAATCACTGTGCTGTACACCTAAAATTAACATGACATTATAAATCAACTATAACTTAATAAAATAAAAGATTTACTATTATAACATCACCTAATGGCCCATTTGTTGCCAAAAGGGCCACCTTATTACAGACCACAGTCAGTGGTTAGCGCTCAGTCTCAGGACGCAATGAGACAACTCCCTCCATCAACCAACACCCTCCACCGCGTGGGTCACAAAGCAATCTTTCTTTCTCACTAGCCTTCTCATAAATGTCACCTGAGCTGGTCCCAAGAGATAGGCAGGAGTTAGAAAACGGGTGGGGAAGACTCTAAAAATTGCAAGATAAACACATTAAAGCTAAAATAATGAGAACTTGGCACTGCGGAAGGGGTGGAACACAGGTGACAGCTCGGGCCCCCCTCTCAACCTGCGGCTCTTAAAATCTCTGCAAAATGAAAAGGGACCATGCCTAGGGCAGTCACTCACCGAACCCCGTGAAGCCCATGGTGACCGCGAGCTGCGGGTCCGGTCCTGATGCGTCTGAGCCTGTCACTGGGACAAGAGAAAAGAGAAAAGGCCTTGTTAGTGCGGAGCCCCCAGCGCCGCGGCCCTGCCCGACCCACCCCGCCGGCGCTCGCCTCACTGAACCCACCGCCGCTGGGTCCGGGGCGCTCCATGGCCTGCCAACCGCCACAGCACCAGCCCAAACAGCTGCTAAAGACTAGCAGCAAACCAGGCAGGAAGTATCGCCTTCGAGCGTCGGCCTCGCCGCCAAGGCCAAGAGCGGCACCTTCCGCGGAGGGACAGAGGCCTCCTAAGCAGCGCCGCCCTAGCGGGCTGGCGGAGTATAAGCGCCACAGAAGCTGGCTTCAGATTGAACCCACGGGAAGGGGAATATTATCTGCAGTTTCTCTAACACTTTTTACTTTGTAAGACTCATTTTTCGGGGCTTCCCTGGTGGTGCAGCGGTTAAGAATCCGTCTGCCAACTCAGGGGACATCGATTCGAGCCCTGGTCTGGGAAGACCCCACATGCCGCAGAGCAACTAAGCCCGTGTGCCACAGCTACTGAGCCTGCTCTGTAGAGTCCACGCGACACAACTACTGAAGCCCACGCGCCACACCTACTGAAGCCCACGTGCCTAGAGCCCGTGCTCCACAACAAGAGAAGCCACTGCAATGAGCAGACTACGCACTGCAACGAAGAGTAGTCCCCACTCGCTGCAACCAGAAAAAGCCCGCGCACAGCAAAGGAAGACCCAATGCAGGCAAAAAAAAAAAAAAAAAAAAAAAAAAAAAAAACGCGTTTACCGCCAAGGGGAAGGTGACACTTAATCCTCAGAATTCTGAAGATGGTTTCAAATTCCATGTCACAACTAACCATTAAGAGACTACCATTTGTTAAGTTTTGGTAAGCTGTCAGAGAATATTCACAAGTGTCTAAAAAGGTTATTAAAATAGTCCCTTTTCCAGCTACATAACTCTGTGAGGCCCCCTTTTCTTCGTGTACTTCAACTAAACAAGTAACAACAAGAGATATGAAATCTGGTTATCTCTTATTTAGCCAAACATTTAAGAGATCTGCAAAAATGTAAAATAACAGCATTCTTCTCACTAATGGTTTGGTTTTAGAAACTATGGCGATTTTTCATAAAATGTGTTATTTATATTAACGAGGATTAGGCTTATTCTTTTAAATAAGTTATTTTTTAAATTTCTCATTTTTATGAGATATTAGCAATTATTAACAAAAATAACCCTGTGAAATAAAATTCATATTTTATCGCAAGACAAGAAAAATTCAAACACAAAAACATTTCTCTGCCTTTTGACCTTCTCTCTCCTCTCTACTGTGCATTGTGTATATGCATTTTGTATCAACCAAACCTCCTCCATCAGCGGAAATACCTGCTCAACCATACAGAGCAACATTCTCCTAGCATCAACAAGACAACTCCCTAAAAGATAACGTTCCTTCTTGATCTTGAAAGTGGCCAAGATGATGGTTAGATCTGGATTGTGTAAACTGTCAGTAATATGTCATTGAATGTACAGCCCTCTGTTTCGAAAAACTTATGTAACTGTGTTTTGACTTCTAATGATTGGAACAGTCCTTAGAGCTTTCTGAGATGCTGTTTCGGGTTATAATCCTCAGCTTGGCACAAAAAAATTTTTCCATTTCTTTTTTAGATCGACTGATTAACTTTTTATCAACAATCCACACAAAAACCAAACCTCTTTGGACTCCTTAATAATTTTTAAAGGTATCAAAAGTTTTAGAATCTTTATTCTTGAGATGTCTTCAGCAAAATTTTCACATAAAGGGCTGCATGGTAAATATCTGAGGCTTTGAGTCCATGTGGTCTGTGTACCAACTATTCAACTCAACAGTTGCAGCTGAAAAGCAGCCATTGCAATATGTAAATGAATGGAGGGTCTTGGACTTAGACCCTTGGAAATGCTGTTGCTGTGTGCAGGACTATTAGACCAGTATTGTTAGACATCCAATTTGTAGAGTTGAAAACTTTCTATTGTATTTTTTTTGTCTCAAATTAAAAACAGGGCTTCCCTGGTGGTGCAGTGGTTGAGAGTCCGCCTGCCGATGCAGGGGACACGGGTTCGTGCCCCGGTCCAGGAAGATCCCACATGCCGCGGAGCAGCTGGGCCCGTGAGCCACGGCCGCTGAGCCTGCGCGTCCGGAGCCAGTGCTCCGCAACGGGAGAGGCCACAACAGTGAGAGGCCCGCGTAACGCAAAAAAAAAAAAAAAAAAAAAAAAATTAAAAACAAACCAACCCTGTGACAGACTGTCAGTTTTCAATCTGTAGTCTACCGAATAAAAGAAAACTGACAACTGGCGACCCCTCTGCCTATTTATCTACCAGTAATACAAATCTAATTTTTCTTGGTATACTTGCTATGAAATTTTAAATTATATGTATAGATCTGTAATATCACAGTATTTTTAGTATTCAGAAATTTAGTCAACGCTTTATTTGAGGCAGTAAAAAGTAATTCAAATAGCAAAAGACCAATTCAGAGCAATTCAGCTATTGATTTGCAAAACTATGAATATAATCGGATGTAACTTAGGTGAGACTCTAAATAAGGACTAATGCTAAGTATTCTAAATAAGGACTGCTCTTTGAAGACTACTGCTTTGTTTTAACCACTCCAGCTGCCTTCTGCATGAAATGAAGCCCATCCTGCCTCTCCTCACTCATTTCTCTTACCCTTTTACTGCAGTTAATACATACCCCATAGACAAAATATGGTGATGCACTGTTGTTGTTTTTTTTTGCCTGTGTGTCCCTGCATAAAGCACCTTGAGAAGAGGAATGTTGTTTCAGTTTGATATTCCCTGCACAGGTACAATGCCTGACACAAATTCAGAATTCAGTTGCTGTATAAGATGATATATTAGGTGGCCTACTCTATATCAGTCCCTCTACTATGTGCTGGGGATGAAGCAGTGAATTAGAACCACCTGCTTCCCCTCTGAAATGGGAAATAAAGCAAGGCATCAGGTACGCTGTGAAGATTCCATAAACATAATTTTTCACAGTAACGTACCACAAAGTCAAATGGTAACGACACAGAAATAGAAAACATGATGAATTTTAATTTACACCGAAGCCCATATTTCTAGTGAAATTTTGGTTTATATGTAAACTTTTTTTAACAAACAGCTACCAACTCCTATCCACTCTCAGAAGACAAGTTATTTGCAGCACCAAATTGACACGCATACTCAAAATAGTTGCAGTTGCAGGTTTCCGATCCCCGAAGCTCGAGGCACTCAGATCCAAGCGCGCGCTAAACCCACAAGAACCCGAGCATCCTTGCGCTGCCCCCGCACTAACCGGCTCGCACTTACCCGGACCCCGCTCCCTCCTGCTCCCCACCCCTACCGACCCCATCCCATCCTTCCCCTTTCCCAGTCCCTCCCCTTTCCCCTTCTTCTCTCCTTCCCTCCCTTCCTCCACTCCCACCACCGATTTCCCCCTCCCGACCAGAACAACCAGCCTGCCCACTTCGAAGCACCTCCCGCTCACTAGCTCCACCCCCAACGTCCAGCCCCCTCTAACAGCTTCCTCTTCCCAGCGCCGAAAAGCTGGCTTCATATTCCCCACCCTATGAACCGGAAGCACGTCATGCACTGGCGCCGGGGCGCTTGTTTGGCGCGCGCGCCCTAAGCTTTGGGGCTGAGCTAGCGTCTTGGGATTTCTCTTATTTCTCCTTGCTTTTTGACTTTCTCCGGTCGCTGTTGTCTCCGATTTTCGATATGCCGTCTTCTTTGCTGGGCTCGGCAATGCCGGCGTCCACGTCGGCCGCAGCCCTGCAGGAAGCTTTGGAAAATGCGGGGCGGCTCATCGACCGTCAGTTACAAGAAGACCGCATGTACCCGGACCTTTCCGATCTGCTCATGGTGTCTGCCCCAAGTGAGTGATCGTTGCCCAGTTGGTGACTGTTTCTCATCCCAAAGGACTCTCGTCTGACTCCCTAAATAGGTCCTTATCCGCAGGGTGAATCGGCGAAGATACCCTGAGATCTGGGACGCTGTTTGCTGCATTTTGAAGGGCGGAAAAGAGCCCATTTTCAATGTTTTTCCTTCTCACTTTCTTCATTACAGGCACCTCAGGGGATAGGAATGAGGAGCAAGCCCCCATTTGAAGCAGAAAGAGGCAAAGTTTCCAGCCTTAATGAGCTTCTCATTGCCTCCAAGTGTGTATCGCTAAGACCAGATGAGAAGGATCACCTGATCCAATTCTCATCCTTGTTAATACCTCATATTAATGTTTTAGTAAAATTGGAGAGCATACGAAGTTAATTTGGAAATTTACTATGTTCGCTCAGAGATATGCTTATTTTGTATGGAGTTAGTGTAATATGAAGTCCTTAAAGGTGTTAAAAAGAACTACCAGCGGAATGAAGGGAAATCAGCACTGATGATGGGTGAACACGGAGGGAAAAGCAGATTTTTGTGCCAACAAAGAGAGGTGTCCGTAAAATATTCTGTTTATCTGTTTTAAATTAAGCCCAGGCTCCTCAAGGCATATAGAATCACACAAGTTGCTAGAAAAAAAGTGACCCCCTTTGTGAGGTGGAAATTGGAGAAGAGTAAATAAGATAAAAACAAGATTTTTGGTCGGCGAGAACCAAGATAATGTAACCAGGTTAATCTGCAATGTAAACCTAAAAGACAGCTTTGACGATTTATAAAAAGTCATTAATTGACTTATAATCAGAGGAAAGACAGAAACAAAGCAAAGAGTATTTACTCCTAACAGCTACTTACCAGTGGGCTTGTCTTAAAAGAACTGAGTGGCCTATTAGCAACTCTCATCCTGAGTAGCACTCTTCGCTTTGTACTCCTTATTTCTGAAAGCAAGGTGTAAAAACAGTCCATACATTCTGGTCTTCTCATCATACCTGACCCCAGTCCAACCTATCCACCTTTACACACATCTACCTCTTCAACCAAATTTCCTTTCCCTCTTCCATCCTATTCTCGACCTCCTTGTTCCAGTTATGCTGAATTTAACAGGTTTCCCATAAGAACCCCCTCTTCAGGATTTCATTTTACATGTACTCTTCATCATTTCTAGAATGTTCTTCTTTGCCTGACAAGCTATTCTTCCAGACTCCATTAAATACCACTTTCTCTGAAGCCTTTCTCAACCAGGAATAACTCTAGTGAGGTTTATATCCTCACCAGAGTTATTAATTCCATCCTTTGTGTTCCTACTGCAGTTTAACATGTGTAATGTTCTATCAAAATTATGTTTTAAGAGTAAATGGAACGTCTGGGATTCGCTTCAAAAAACACATTAGGGAAAAAGTGGATAGTGACTGACATATATGAAACATGACTGGGCATGTTACTGGTAATTTTTGAAGCTGGATACTCAATACATAGGGATTGATTGCATTTGTTCTCTAGTTGTATAAATTTAAAAATTTTTCATAATACATTTAAAAATTTGTTTTATATGTCAGTTTCCCCCAACATCTTTGTACTCTAGAGAGGCTGAAAAGGTGCCTGAGTAAATAATAATAGTAAATAGTCAGAACTAAAATACCTTGCTCAGGACTAGGAAGGACAGGCGGAATAGACCAGCCTGCTCTTGCCCTTAGTGTCTGGGCTTTAGAGGAAGAGAAGGTTGCCAGTTGAGAGCAGTTTATAGAGTAGTCTGATTCTCTCCCACTCCCCCCCCCCATAAAATATTGCTTTTGTGGAATTACAGGCATACCTCATTTTACTGTGGTTTGTTTTATTGCACTTTGCAGATACTGTTTTTTTTTAACAGATTGGTGGCACCCCTGCCTTGTCAGGTGACAGCATATTTTAGTAATATTTTTTTAATTAAGGTGTGTACATTGTTTTTTTAGACATAATGCTGTTGCATACTTAGACGTCAGTATAGTGTAAACATAACTTTTACATGCACCGGAAAACCAAAAAATTAATGTGACTCACTTCTGGGCATGTTCATTTTATTGCAGTGGTCTGGAACCAAACCCACAACGTCTCTGAGGTTTGCCTTTATTTGTATATTGGTCTGAGGGTGGGGGGTGGATACATAACGGGAAAAGGCATGGATTGTTTTAATCTTTAAATTTTTAAGTGGGAAAGGAAATGCTGTTTTTTCCCCAGTCAGTATTTTGTTTGTCCACAGTTGTTTTTATCTGAGAATAACAGAGCTGTTTTATAATTTTTTTCCTATTTCAGATTAGTAAAATAATAGGAAAACACTATAAATTATTGAACTAAACATTTCTTTTCTTATGGAGAAAGTCTTTGTGAAAGATAACCTTCTGTTCAGTGTTGAAACCAGTAATTGCACCCCATCTTAACATTGGAATTTATCAGGCCTCCTTTGTGTCAGATCAGAATTACTTTATTCTCTCTATACCTTTAGAACCAGATACACAATTTTTCTGTAGCTTGCAATACTTCTGTATGCCCATTTGATGCCCAATACATTATTATTTTAAATAAATGCGCTTTTTTAATTTTATTTTTTGTAGATAATCCCACTGTTTCTGGCATGTCAGATATGGATTATCCTCTACAAGGACCTGGTTTGCTGTCAGTACCCAACCTGCCAGAGATCAGTTCCATTCGAAGAGTTCCTCTCCCACCTGAACTTGTTGAACAGTTTGGACGTATCCTATTACTTTGTATTTAACTCTTTAAAAAATTTAAAAATTGGTATTCTCATTATTATAATTCTAGTTTTGTGTTTAATTAGCACATTGTGTATAAGTTCTTATAAGGTTTTATTTAAAATACATTTTAAGTATGTGGGTAGTTTGCCATGTGCCTAGAAAATTTCATCGAAGATTGAATGTTGAAAATTGAGTCACATTTTAATTGTTTGGGGGCATTGAGGAGAGTAAATTGTTTACAAGCAACTCTGCATTTTTGAATGATATATGACAAGGCATTACTTTCCAATTAAGTGCTATACAGGGAATTTTTTACTACCACTCTTTTTCAGTTCAAAGACCCATGATTTTTGTTTTTATTTTTTCCTGTATGTTAACATTTTAGAACTGGGAAGTGGCTCTGAAAATGTTTAAAATAAAACTGCAAGGTATTTTCTTCTGCAAATACCCCCCAAAAAGTTTTTGGTGTGTTTTTACACTTACTGGTGTCTTAGAATTGAAGTTTATAATTTATTGTATTTCTAAGGATTACAGTAAGAATCTGTATCTAAAGGTATAAGAAACTGAAGTATTGATACTCATGCCATCTTCATAGACTGAGAAGTTAGAGGAGTTTTCTTATCCTCTAAAAATAAGATTTTATTTGTTTTTCTTAAAGTGTGGCATACTCTATAAAAGGACTATATAGTTCTTTGCTAGGAAGCTTTTATAAAAATCAGTCTGTAACTCTCATAATAAAGGCATCAAGATGCTATATAAAAATTTAATCTGACTTTTAAAAGTATGTTAATCTGTTCAGGGTAAAGGGCTTCATATTTCAATACAGTGTGATTTAGAAAAAAAAGAAATGAAAAATTAGGGAAAATGCTTGTAAAATAAATAGAAAAACTAGTAAAATCCAATTTATATTTTCATTGTTTCTCTGAGACTTTGTAAAATAGTGTCATTAAATAAATAATATACCTTATCATATACTCTACCCTTGCTTAGTTTCTTAATATTCTTTAATTCTCTGGTAATACTATACTATCTACAAGAGATATTTCTTTAATTCGGAAATTATTTTGTTTTCACAATTGTTTCATTATCTTATAATTACGTAAATAATTCTTTGTCTATTTTTCAGTTTATACGAGGCTTGTAGATTGTCAACTGGCTGCGACTTTAGCATGCCGACTGTTTTTCTTAGTTTTTTTATAAATTTATTTATTTTTATTTTTGGCTGCGTTGGGTCTTTATTGCTGAGTGCAGGCTTTCTCTGCTTGTGGCAAACGGGGGCTTCTCTTGTTGCAGAGCATGGGCTCTAGACTTGTGGGCTTCAGCAGTTGTGGTGCGCGGGCTTCGTTGCTCCGCGGCATGTGGGATCTTCCTGGACCAAGGATCAAACCCGTGTCCCCTGCATTGGCAGGCGGATTCTTAATCACTGCACCACCAGGGAAGTCCCTGTTTTTTGTTTTTTTTGTTTTTTTTTAATCACTCTTTTATACCATTGGAAAAACTGGTCCAGTGAAACAGTTTATACTGTTAAAGTCCAATGGTATTACTCAGAATCAATATTTTTTTAAGTTAGTAATGGCAAAAACATTACATTTGTTATTTAGAGTACATTATAAATGGTCAGATAGCTTTATTTAGAAGTTATAATAAATATTTCTGTCATACACTATGGCTTTCATTAAACTCATTGGAAATAAAGATACTTCATTTGCTCTTTTGATTGAAGAGTGAATAAGTCATGATTTTTTAATCATACATTTTATTTATTTTATTTTATTTTATTTTATTTTTTTGCGGTACGCGGGCCTCTCACTGTTGTGGCCTCTCCCGTTGCGGAGCACAGGCTCCCGATGCATGCAGGCTCAGCAGCCATGGCTCACGGGCCTAGCCGCTCCGTGGCATGTGCGATCTTCCCGGACCGGGGCACAAACCCGTGTCCCCTGCATCGGCAGGCGGACTCTCAACCTCTGTGCCACCAGGGAAGCCCTAATCATACATTTTAAATCAAAATCTTTTTTTTTTTTTCTCTCCCGTTGCGGAGCACAGGCTCCAGACGCACAGGCCCAGCGGCCATGGCTCACGGGCCCAGCCGCCCCGCCACACGCGGGACCCTCCCGTACCGGGGCACGAGCCCGCGTCCCCTGCATCGGCAGCTGGACTCCCAACCACTGCGCCACCAGGGAAGCCCTAAATCAAAATCTTTTGAAACAAGTTTAAGAAAAATGAGATTGAAATCTTTCTACCTTACATCCACACTACCTCAGATATGCAGTGTAACTGCATGATGGGCGTGTTCCCTCCTATCAGTAGAGCTTGGCTCACAATCGACAGTGACATATTCATGTGGAACTACGAAGATGGGTATGTGTTTATGACTGGTTTGCTTTAGCATGGTTAGAATTTAAATTATCTTTATTACAACTAGTATTCTACTCATTAAAAGCTGCCTGGTTTATCTTTCATTCGTCTAACATCCGGGTCAGTGCTTCTCAGTGTATATACCAACGTGGGGATGGGGTTAAGATATGGATTATGTTTTAGTCATTAAGGCTTAGGAGTCTGCATTTGTAACAAGCTCCCAGGTGATGCTGGGGATCTGGGTACCACTCTGAGTAACAGCAGTATTATTTCCCCAACTCCTATAATAATGATAGTCTATCAGTAATTCTTTGAGAGATGGTTTGAGATTTTTAAAGACCTCTGTTTTCCCTGCGTATCATGGAGTGGGAGGATGTTAGTTTATTGAAGTATCTTAACAGTTTTGTTGTTATTCTGTGGGCTTGACCTTGTGTAAATTAAATGTGTATAAAAGAGTATGAGTGAAGGCCCAAGGCATTCTTGTTTAAAGTTTATTGATCTGATGATCTTACTCTTGGCTACTTGGAGAAAAATTTTACCTTCCAGTTCTCCATCGTATTATCTTTAGGTGAGGGGTGAGATAACCAGAGGAAGATCCATATTAAGATGTTAGTCTTGCTCCTGAGTAATTAACATACTTGTTAGAAACATACAGTGTCATTGAATCAAAACTGACACTATATGAGAACTTGTAGCTTAAACTATTTTTATTTGCTGTTCTTTTTTTAATTAGAAATTTTCCTAGCTATTTTTATTGTTGAAATGGTATATAGTCATAATAATAGTGATATAAGGTTGAGATTGTTCTTCATGTACCATGAACGTTGCCCCAGTTTGTTATATTACACATAACATATTCAATTTTAAACTAAAGAGTGGAAGCTGTTCCTTTAGGCATTGATCTCTTCAAGAAAACCTAATGCAAGAAAATTACAAAATAGATAAATGTGAGAATAATTTCGTTGAAAAGTGTTTACACTTTAATGAAATTTTTATACTTCCATTGACTTCTAACTTATTCATTTAAAAACCACATTGAGCTTATCATTATCACTTTTTGTGCTTGAATAGTACTGAATAAACATAGTCCCTGCCCACATGGAAAGTGTGGTTCAACCTTATTGTGTGTTCAAACTAAACTCATTTAAAGAAAAATTATTTGAATATTGTGTTTATTGAAAAAATCAAGGCACAGGTACTGGATATAAATCTTTACTTCCTAAATTCAATTCTGTAAAAACCTTAGCCTTCATTTCAGTTATTCCGATAGCTTTCTATTACAAATCCCAGTTCCATCTGGATGATAGAAACGTATTGTTGTTCAATTCACTTTTCTCTAATCCCCAGCTCTCCCAATATTGTTCTTAGTTCTGGGGGCTGTGTCAGTTGTTGAAGGAGCCTGTGTAATTCCACACCATTGGGAAAATGGGGAAACCTGGCCCCACGTAGGTTGCCATGTAGGTGTTTTCTGTCCACTTGTGTGGCCCTTTGCAGGACAACCAGTTTTCCTCAAAGTCTGGATCATTTTTTTTTCTTGGTATTTATCCTGCTTGCTGTTCTCTGAGCGTATTGGATCTAGGTTTGAAGTCTTTGCTATTTTTGAAAATTTTTCAACCATTGTCTTATTAAAGTATTTGTTCTTTCCTGTTCTCTTCCTTTCTCTTCTGAGATTTGTTATACTTTTGTTAGACTGCTTGATGTTTTCCAACAAATTTTGGATGCTCTGTTTGGATGTGCCACTCCTTTTTCTCTTTTTATTTCAATTTGGACAATTTCTATTGACCTTTAACTTCATGTTTACTGATTCTTTCGTCAAGTCTACTGAGAAGTCCATATAAGACATTCTTTGTGCTGTGCTTTTTATTTCTAACATTTTCACTGGCTTATTTCTACTTATTTTCTTTGCTGAAATTCCTTACCTGTTTATACATATTGCTCATCATTTTTATTAGAGCCTATACTATATTGATTATATTTATTTAAAATTTCCTGTCTGATAGTTCAGACATCTGACTCTGGTTCTGTTGATTGCTTTGTTTCTTGACACTGGGGCTTTTTTTTGCTTGCTTTTTTGCTCATGTTTTGTTACTCAAAGCCAGACACCATGTATAGGACAGTGAATACTGCAATAAATACCCTTTATCCTTAGAAATGGGCGTGTCTCTTCCTTTGCTAGAGCCTAGCAGGTAGGCCTTTATTGTGAGGGAGTTGACTTTTTCCAAGTCAGGAGTTAAGCCGAGTGTGGTTTTGTTGGTGCAGTGGTTACCTTCAGTGGACCACAGGTTTCAAATTCCTTTAGAATTATTTTGCACTTAGCGTACAGATTGGGTTGCTGGATTTTTTCTCAGTGTTCCTGTTTCTCCCCCAGCAACAGGCTCTCCCTGTGAGCCTGTTCTTCTGAGAGGGTCCTCTTGCCCCTGCCGCAGGAGTAGATTGTTGTTACTTGAGACTTGCAACCTGGTGGGGGAATGTTTGGAATGGGGACCAGCATTCCGCTTTTTCCTGGTTTCCGCTTAGCCTTAGGTAGGTCTGTGTGCCTGAGTCTTGGAACTAAAACAGTTTTGTTTGCTGGTTCATTATATTCTGTAGTCTTGAAGAACATTATAAAACTTTTTCCTTTACATGTGTAACATGTTTTTTCTTCAACTGTTGACAGAGGAGACCTTGCCTATTTTGATGGACTTAATGAGACTATTCTTGCTGTGGGGCTTGTGAAACCAAAAGCTGGTAAGAAATAAAAATATAAAGATTAAATTATGTTTGTACATAAGATTCCAAATGTTTTAGGACTAAATGATATTATACTTTAAGTAATTAACTTTCCTATTGAAGTTTTGTTTTAAATTACTTCTAATTAGAAATATAAAAAGTGATTAGGAATATTTAACAATTTACTAACCTTATGGTATAAATGAGTCTGCCTTTAAAATTGTTAAACTATAATTCTTGAATTTTATCTTGCTTTTTGTTAGTCTTTTTTTTTTATCTTTTCAAGTTTGCATAAGTTTTTTTTTTTTTACATCTTTATTGGAGTATAATTGCTTTACAATGGTGTGTTAGTTTCTGCTTTATAACAAAGTAAGTCATTTATACACATACATATATTCCCATATCTCCTCCCTCTTGCGTCTCCCTCCCTCCCACCCTCCCTATCCCACCCATCCAGGTGGTCACAAAGCACCGAGCTGATCTCCCTGTTCGATGCGGCTGCTTCCCACTAGCTATCTGTTTTACATTTGGTAGTATATATATGTCCTTATCACTCTCTCACTTCGTCCCAGCTTACCCTTCCCCCTCACCATGTCCTCAAGTCCATTTTCTTGTAGGTCTGCGTCTTTATTCCCGTCCTGCCCCTAAGTTCTTCAGAACCATTTTTTTTTTTTAGATTCCGTATATATGTGTTAGCATACTGTATTTGTTTTTCTCTTTCTGACTTACTTCACTTTGTGTGACAGTCTCTAAGTCCATCCACCTCACTACAAATAACTCAGTTACGTTGCTTTTTATGGCGGAGTAATATTCCATTGTATATATGTGCCATATCTTCTTTTTCTTTTCTTTAACATCTTTATTGGAGTATAATTGCTTTACAGTGTTGTGTTAGTTTCTGCTGTATAACAAACTGAATCACCTATATGTATACATATATCCCCGTATCTCCTCCCTCTTGTGTCTCCCTCCCACTCTCCCTATCCCACCCCTCTAGGTGGTCACAGAGCACCGAGCTGATCTCCCTGTGTGATGCAGCTGCTTCCCACTAGCTATCTGTTTTACATTTGGTAGTGTATATCTGTCCACACCACCCTGTCACTCTGTCCCAGCTTACCCTTCCCCCTCCCCGTGTCCTCAAGTCCATTCTCTAGTAGGTCTGCGTCTTTATTCCCGTCCTGCCCCTAGGTTCTTCATGACCTTTTTTTTTTATTTTTTAGATTCCATATATATGTGTTAGCATATGGTATTTGTTTTTCTCTTTCTGACTTACTTCACTCTGTATGACAGACTCTAGGTCCATCCACCTCACTACAAATAACTCATTTCATTTCTTTTTATGGCTGAGTAATATTCCTTTGTATATATGTGCCACATCTTCTTTATCCATTCATCTGTTGATGGACACCTAGGTTGCTTCCATGTCCTGGCTATTGTAAATAGAGCTGCAATGAACAATGAATTATGGTCCAGTAGTGGGATTGCTGGGTCGTATGGTAGTTGTATTTTTAGTTTTTTAAGGAACCTCCATACTGTTCTCCATAGTGGCTGTATCAATTTACATTCCCACCAAGAGTGCAAGACGGTTCCCTTTTCTCCACACCCTTTCCAGCATTTATTGTTTGTAGATTTTTTAATGATGGCCATTCTGACCAGTGTGAGGTGATACCTCATTATAGTTTAGATTTGCATTTCTCTAATGATTAGTGATGTTGAGCATCCTTTCATGTGATTGCTGGCAATCTGTAGATCTTCTTTGGAGAAATGTCTACTTAGGTCTTCTGCCCATTTTTGGATTGGGTTGTTTCTTTTTCTGATATTGAGCTGGATGAGATGCCTGTAAATTTTGGAGATTAATACTTTGTCAGCTGCTTCATTTGCAAATATTTTCTCCCATTCTGAGGGGTGTCTTTTCGTCTTTGCTGTGCAAAAACTTTTAAGTTTCATTAGGTCCCATTTGTTTATTTTTGTTTTTACTTCCATTTCTCTAGGAGGTGGGTCAAAAAGGATCTTGCTGTGATTTAAGTCAGAGAGTGTTCTGCCTACGTTTTCCTCTAAGAGTTTTATACTGTCTGGCCTTACATTTAGATTTTTAATCCATTGTGAGTTTATTTTTGTGTATGGTATTAGGGAGTGTTCTAATTTTCATTCTTTTACGTTTAGCTGTCCAGTTTTCCCAGCAACACTTATTGAAGAAGCTGTCTTTTCTCCATTGTATAGTCTTGCCTCCTTTATGAAAGATAAGGTGACCATATGTGCATGAGTTTTCCTCTGGGCTTTCTATCCTGTTCCATTGATCCATATTTCTGTTTTTGTGCCAGTACCGTACTGTCCTGATTACTGTAGCTTTGTAGTATAGTCTTAAGTCTGGGAGCCTGATTCCTCCAGCTCCGTTTTTCTTTCTCAAGATTGCTTTGGCTCTTCGGGGTCTTTTGTGTGTCCATACAAATTGTGAAATTTTTTGTTCTAGTTCTGTGAAAAATGCCTGTGGTACTTTGATACGATTGCATTGAATCTGTAGATTGCTTTGGGTAGTATAGTCGTTTTCACAATGTTGATTCTTCCAATCCAAGAACATGGTATATCTCTCCATCTATTTGTATAATCTTTAATTTCTTAAATCAGTGTCTTATAGTTTTCTGCATACAGGTCTTTTGTCTCCTTAGGTAGGTTTATTCCTAGGTATTTTATTCTTTTTGTTGCAGTGGTAAATGGGAGTGTTTCCTTAATTGCTCTTTCAGATTTTTCATTATTAGTGTATAGGAATGCAAAAGATTTCTGTGCATTACTTTTGTATCCTGCTTCTTTACCAAATTCATTGATTAGCTCTAGTAGTTTTCTGGTAGCATCTTTAGGATTCTCTATGTATAGTATCATATCATCTGCAAACAGCGACAGCTTTACTTTTTCTTTTCCAACTTGGATTCCTTTTAATTCTTTTTCTTCTCTGATTGCTGTGGCTAAAACTTCCCAAATTATGTTGGATAGTAGTGGTGAGATAGGACAGCCTTGTCTTGTTCCTGGTCTTAGAGGAAATGGTTTCAGTTTTTTACCATTGAGAATGATGTTGGCTGTGGGTTTGTCATATATGGCCTTTATTATTTTGAGATAGGTTCCCTCTATTCCTACTTTCTGGAGAGTTTTTATCATAAATGGTGTTGAATTTGTCAAAAGGTTTTTCTGCATCTATTGAGATTATCATATGTTTTTTTTCCTTGACGTGCAGGCTCAGCGGCCATGGCTCACGGGCCCAGCCGCTCCGTGGCATGTGGGATCTTCCCAAACCAGGGCACAAACCCGTGTCCCCTGCATCGGTAGGCGGACTCTCAACCACTGCGCCACCAGGGAAGCCCGGTGTATGATCCTTTTAATGTGCTGTTGGATTCTGTTTGCTAGTATTTTGTTGAGCATTTTTGCATCTATGTTCATCAGTTATATTGGCCTGTAGTTTTCTTTTTTTGTGACTTTTTTTTTTTAGTATCAGGGTTATGGTGGCCTTGTAGAATGAGTTTGGGAGTGTTCCTTCCTCTGTTACATTTTGGAAGAGTTTGAGAAGGATAAGTGTTAGCTCTTCTCTAAATGTTTCATAGAATTCCCCTGTGAAGCCGTCTGGTCCTGGGCTTTTGTTTGTTGGAAGATTTTTAATCGTACTTTCGATTTCAGTGCTTGTGTTTGGTCTGTTTATATTTTCTGTTTCTTCCTGGTTCAGTCTCGGAAAGGTGTGCTTTTCTAAGAATTTGTCCATTTCTTCAAGGTTGTCCATTTTATTGGCATATAGCTGCTTGTAGTAATCTTTCATGATCCTTTGTATTTCTGCCATGTCAGTTTTTACTTCTCCTTTTTCATTTCTAATTCTGTTGATTTGAATCTTCTCCCTTTTTTTCTTGATGAGTCTGGCTAATGGTTTATCAATTTTGTTTATCTTCTCAAAGAAGCAGCTTTTAGTTTTATTGATCTTTGCTATTGTTTCCTTCATTTCTTTTTCATTTATTTCTGATCTGATCTTTATGATTTCTTTCCTTCTGCTAACTTTGGGGGTTTTTTATTCTTCTTTCTCTAATTGTTTTCGGTATAAGATTAGGTTGTTTAAGATGTTTCTTGTTTCTTGAGGTACGATTGTATTGCTATTAACTTCCCTCTTAGAACTGCTTTTGCTGTATCGCATAGGTTTTGGGTCATCCTGTTTTCATTGTCATTTGTTCCTAGGTATTTTTTGATTTCCTCTTTGATTTCTTCAGTGATTTCTTGGTTATTTAATAGTGTATTGTTTAGCCTCCATGTGTTTGTATTTTTTACAGTTCTTTTTTTCTGTAATTGATATCTAGTCTCATAGCGTTGTGGTCGGAAAAGATACTTGATACAATTTCGATTTTCTTAAATTTACCAAGGCCTGATTTGTGACCCAAGATATGATCTCTCCTGGAGAATGTTCCATGAGCACTTTAGAAGAAAGTGTGTTCTGTTGTTTTTGGATGGAATGTCCTATAAATATCAATTAAGTCCATCTTGTTTAATGTATCATTTAAAGCTTGTGTTTCCTTATTTATTTTCTTTTTCGGATCCGTCCTTTGGTGAAAGTGGGGTGTTAAAGTCCCCTGTTATGAATGTTGTAACACTGATTTTAAATGTCATTAAATACTGAAGTGTTTGTGTCTAAGATTTGGGTTTTTGTTTGGTTGGTTGGTTTTTTTACTACTCTCTACTTATTTACATGATCATAAGTGGTAATGTTTTAGCATCAACATTAAATTAGCTTCACACTTTTCATATGCTGGTTAACCCATAGCTCATATTAAGGTAACCATTTTCTGTTAATGCTTAAATGATGGGTGTTTTCCAGAAAGTAGTGCCTAACTCATGTTTATTTTATCTTAGGCATCTTTCAACCTCACGTACGACATCTTCTGGTTTTGGCAACCCCTGTGGATGTAGTGATTCTTGGACTCAGTTATACTAATTTGCAAACAGGTATAGCAACCCGCATGTTGTGGGAGGTTTGGGGGTTTGTTTTTTTGGCCACACCCTGCATGGTATATGGAACTTCCCCAACCAGGGATGGAACCCGCACCCCCTGCAGTGGAAGCGCAGAGTCTTAACCACTGGACCACCAGGGAAGTCCCCACATGTTGTGTTTTTTAAAATAAAAATATGTTGCTCAATTTAATATTATAATTGAAAACTAATCTTTTTCACTAAGTTAATTTTCTGGTCTATTTGCTCATAGGAAAATATTTCCCTGTAGGTATGGTATCTTTCAGGTTAATAACTCCACCAGAAATTATTTTGGATTTATTTACCATATCAGTGTACATTTCTTTAATGTCCAATATAAAGGAAGGGTAATAGTAGAGAAATAGTTGCCCTGGTAATTTTTAAATAATGCCTTCAATTTCTTCATTTTTAATTTTTTGAATGTCCATTTTAACATATGAAACATTGAAATGTATATTATTCTTTCCCTTAAAGTAAGAAGCCATCAATTAATTCATTACATGCATATTCAGTGGTTTCTTTTGCATTCTACCAGTGTTTTAGGTAAAATAATGTTGAATTTCAGAGCCTCAAATTGATGATTATTGGGGTGGGGTGGGGGGAAAAAAGAAAAAATTAATGATTATTACTACCATATCCCCAGGCTTTCTTCCAAAATTTAATGCTTCGGGTTAGTTTTTTTATTTGATGTTTTACTATGTTATATATATATGTGCTATATATTTTACATCTTATATATACATACTATAGGTTCTGTTTAACATGAATCATAAAACTGTTTGTATCAGACTTTTTATAGTAATTTTGAAATATATGTTATACATACATTTTTTTGAAATTTTTGAGCATATCATGAATTCAGTAAGAATATCAATTCTGAAGATAATACAGTGATTGTTTTATAACTATTAAAAAGCTCTTAAAGTGATTCCTATATTCTTTCTTTTAAAAAAAATAGGTTCTGGAGTTCTCAATGACAGTATGTGTGGTGGAATGCAGTTACTTCCAGATCCTTTATATTCTCTTCCTACTGATAATACTTACCTTTTAACAATAACTTCCACTGATAATGGCAGGATTTTCTTGGCTGGAAAGGATGGCTGTTTATATGAAGTAGCATACCAAGTAAGTCTGGCATTTGTAAACATTTTCATTTTCCTCCCTCTTGATGGAGTAAGAATAGATAAGCTTTTGTCTTTTTTTTTAATTAATTTTTTTATTGGAGGATAGTTGATTTACAGTGTTGTGTTAGTTTCTGATAAGCTTTAGTCTTTATCTTCTAATTATATAGCATGTTAATATATTCTTATGGAAAGTAGTCAAACATGCAGTTAAAGTTGTAGTCCTTCATGACTACACCATACCTGTAAAACCCAGTCCTCCCCGCAAACGTAACAGCCATTATCAGTTCTGTATATGTCCTTGTAGAATATGATGCATACATTTCTAAATACCTATAAATGTCTTTAAATATCTATAGATAATACATATGTATTTATTTGTGTATATACACGTATACGAATACATAGTATACTTCTGGGTATATGTTTTTACTTGTATTATTGCTTAAGTTTTGTTTCATATTGGCTTTTTTTTTCCTTTTTCTGCCTTTTTTTTTTTCCCCATGCCGTGTGGCTTGCGGGATCTTAGTTCCCCAACCAGGGATTGAAACTGGGCCAAGGCAGCGAAAGTGGCGAGCCCTAACCAGTGGACCACCAGGAAATTCCCATAATTGGCTTTTTTCATTTAACTGCCTTGAAAGTCTTTCCTTGTCAGTATCTGGTAGATAGATATGTGTTATGTTTTGTGATTGCTGCATGATTGTCCATAAAATGGATGTATTGATACATGATTGAACAATTCCTTTCTTGATAGACTTCTAGGTTTTTATTATACCTTTCAGAAATGACGGTGTGATAAGTGTTTTTTTACAAGCCTCCTTGTGCACATGTGTAAAAGTTTTCTAGTGTGGAGACTTAGAATTCTAATACTTGTATTATAGTATATGTGTATTGAAAACTGAATTTTCTATTTTCATTTTGCCCTCTTAAGAGTTTTAGACTCATAGCAGGCATCTGTGATTGTATCCCTTTCCTCTCCCTCCTCACTCTCACTAACCCTGGTATTTTATAACTTACTAATTTTGACCAGTCAGATAGAAGACAATTGTTTTTTATTACTAGTTGGGTTGAGCATCTTTTCATGTATTTATTGGTCATTTGTGTTTACTCTGAAATGTCTTTGTATCCTTTACTCCATTATTTTCCCCCTTACTGTATTGTTGCCTTTATCATAAGGTAAACAGTAGGATACTGATAAGACAAGTATTCTCATAGGCACACAGCTAATTAGTGGCAGAAATAGGATTAGAACTGAGGTTAGCTTTTTTATGTTATATTGTATCTCTTCCTTACCCAATTTCTCTTGGTTTTGTTAACTACAAAAAAAGATTTTGTTGTAGATTTAAGTATGGCAAAGCTCGATCATTGAAGGGCAGACTGTAGATTATGATGGTGGTGGCTACTATTTTTTAAATTTCCTTTTAGCAGTAGTGGGGAGAGATAAAAATACCTCTATCCTATGTACTTTTGACACTTATAAACTATGCTTATTATTTCCCTTACCTGCTTTCAAATAGGAGTTTTTAAGATAATTAAAATGAGTTCACTAACATAGCATTACTGAGGTTGCTGGAATAGACATAGCTGATTTCATTGAGAGCAGTGATTTGATTTTCGTTAAATACGTTTTCTATTTTTAATTACAGGACTGAACTCAGTACTTCTCAGTACTTATTTTTGAGTAGTATGTCTTACTTTACAATTATTGGTATTTTACTAAGATTTGAGAATCTTTATAAACATGAGTATATTATAGTTGCTGTGATGGAGGTACCTACATTTACAAGTCTTACGTCTTTCAATTTTTTCTTTTAAGGCAGAAGCAGGCTGGTTTAGCCAGAGGTGTAGGAAAATAAACCACTCAAAGAGTGCACTTTCTTTCCTTGTTCCTTCATTACTACAGTTCACATTCTCTGAGGATGGTGAGTAGAAAACAAATTTGGCAAACAAAATTTTAACAAATCACTGACCTAACATTTTCTTCAGAAATTCTCATTGTTAACTGAAACAGTTTCTTACTAAACAGTATTTGTTATATATTCATATCATCTTTTAAAGGGAGGAGGGATGATAAAACAGACAGCATGAGTTTTATTCCCAAGTTCCTATAAATGTAGCACCATAGAACATGTGTCTACAATAGCTATACATACTTAAACCACCAGTGTTTGTGAGAGAGTTAGACATTCAGACATTTAATACATGTTTTGCCTGGTCTGAAAGAAATAACCAGCATAAAATGAACATATCTGAGTTTTTAATTGAGAGATTTAGGCAGGTGAAGTAATTTTAAAATGCTTCAGTAAAGTAAGATAAATATATCTAAATGTTAATATGACTGAATTTTTTAATTATTTTCTTTTACACAATGAATTATTAAACTAAACTGGAAGTTTCTTGAAGGAATGGACCAGGTATAATTATTTTATGTGTTCCTAGCATATAGTAAGCATTCATTAAATGTTGAATGAAGGAATAATTTGGAACTTATTTTTGGTTTGGCTTAAATTAATTTAAAGGACAGAATAACTTATTCGTGATGCTCTTAACCCAGTCACAGTATTTGATGTTTGCTTTTTATCGCGTGCTGTCTGACCTGAATGCTTCTTGGCTTTGTCCTTGTGCAACTACCCTAAGACTTACCTACAAAACAAAAGAAAAGCCCTGAATGTAAATCAGCAATTTTAATTTGTTGTAAGTGGCTACTGTGTTTGATTTGTTAACCTCCATTTTTTTTCTTCCTCTGTCTTATTTTTAGATCCTATTGTTCAAATTGCAATTGATAATTCAAGAAATATTTTATATACACGATCAGAGAAAGGAGTAATACAGGTAAGTATTAATATTATACCACCATATAAGAGGGGGAGAATATCCCTGTTTTTAAGGAACAAGATTTAATCACTCTTGGGCTTTTCCTATGAACTGTGTGCTTTAAAAAAAAACAAAAAACAAAAAAAACCCAAACCGCTTCTTAAGGCCCCCTTTCTATGAAATTGTTAATCTCTGAATGTTTTCATACCTCTATGAAGTACCAAAATTAAAGGATCCCTAAAAAGGAAACGTTTATTTAATAAAAGTTTATTTAAAAGCTTATTTCATAAAGTGTATACAGATTATAATCATGTTTAAGTGGGTATGATTTTTTATTCACAGGTGTATGATTTGGGCCATGATGGACAAGGAATGAACAGAGTTGCCTCAGTGTCACAGAATTCTATTGTTTCTGCTGCTGGAAACATTGCTAGGTAGTATGTAATTTTTTCTCAGGCATTTCATTTGCAGGCATAATTATATTATTTATATGGAGTATACTAAAATTATTCCCTCCTCGAAAATAAGAAACGTTGAAGGAGGTGACATTGTAGGTTATGTTTAAAACAGTTGCTAGCAATGCTTCCTTTTGTTCTTATGTTGGATGGTTTGAAACATAAGGCAGACTGGTTTTACAGTGTAAAAGGACAGCTTGACCTGTGATTTTCCCTGGAGTTTGAAATTATGCTCTAAGTGGTCTGTGCAGGCATTATAGGTATTATGACTAGGAAACTGCAAGTCTCAAAGTTTCCCCGTTTTTAACTATTCCACCCTTTTAACAGGTCTACATGGTAGTTTCATTGGTCTGATAATGGACACAAGTACGTTTCAGGAAATACAGAATTTCACAGTTGTATTAACCTCACTGTATTCTTGAGGAAACTAAAACTAGGGATGTTATGATTTGCCTCAGGTCTAACTCCTAAGTAAGTGCTGAGATCCAACCTAAAAGCCAAGTTTTCAGGCACTATACACTGCTATTTGCATATGTCACAAGTGACTTAGCTGCAGAAATTCTCTTCACCTAACAAAGACCTCAGATTTTCAATTTCTGTTTTCTGTGTGCCTGGGTCACTGCTACAATCAGATATCCTAGTGGTAGCATGTTTTCCTTGGTCTTCAATGACCAGAAAATTCTCACGGCAGGCAATTTGAAACAAAGTTTCCTTTTTCTTCTAATTCTTTTGGGAAAGATTTTTTCAGATCCACAGAAAAATGAAAAGAATAGCATGATAAAATCTGATATACCCTTTATCTAAATTCACCAGTTGTTAACATTTTGCCTTATTTGCTCACTCTTAAGACCTAGTTGAAAGTAAGTTCCAGACATGACTTTCACCCTTAAATCCCTCAGCTTCCATCTCCTAAGCTCTTATATACTACATTATCATTACCACACCTAAAAAATTAATAATTTTATAATGTTATCCTAATTATATAGTCCATATTAAAATTACTCAGTACTCCTCCAAATCTTTCATAGCTGTTTTTCTTTACATTTTTCTCCACATTCAGCCAGAGCACATGAGCTACGTTGGTCATTAGTCTCTTTAATATAAAACGGACCTCTTACTGCCTTTTTCAAATGTTGACGTTTAGTGGGGAGGGGCAGGAGAGTTATTTGTAGAATATCCCATTTTCTGAATTTTTTTTTCCTTATCTATAGATTCAGGGTAATATTGGTTTTTGTTTATTTACTTATTTATTTATTTGGTTTTGCCAGGTCTTAGTTGTGGCTCCAGGGCTTCTTAGTTGCGGCAAGAGGCCTCTTTAGTTGTGGCATGAGAACTCATAGTTGCAGCATGCATGTGGGATCTAGTTCCCTGACCAGGGATCAAATCCAGGCCCCCAGCTTTGGGAGCACAGAGTCTTATCCACTGCACCACCAGGGAAGTCCCAGGATAATATTGTTTTTAGCCAATATCACATACATGATGCGAACTTCTTACAGTATTACATTAAGACGCACATAGTACCAGTTTTCCTATTATGAACACTTGGTTAAGGTGGTATTCACCAGATCTCACCATTATGAAGGTTCATTTTCCCCCCCTTTTCTTTGCGGTACGTGGGCCTCTCACTGTTGTGGCCTCCCGTTGCGGAGCACAGGCTCCGGACGCGCAGCTCAGCGGCCGTGGCTCACGGGCCTAGCCGCTCCACGGCATGTGGGATCTTCCTGGACCGGGGCACGAACCCGTGTCACCTGCATCGGCAGGCGGACTCTCAACCACTGCGCCACCAGGGAAGCCCTCCCCCTTTTTAATTAGTGATAATCTTTACAATGGTATTTTGATGCTCTAAGAACACCTTATTCCCCATTAACCATTTACCCAATGGATTTAGCCTTCTTTGTCTTTGAAAAAAGATTACTCTTAACGATATTAATGTAAAGAACACACATTCAAGGGTTTTTGCCAGTTCTTTCTCCTTTTGCACTACTTTCCTAAAAAGTAGCCTTAAAACTATTTTAGCATGTTTAAACATGTAAAAATCCTGGTGGAGGGGCTTCCCTGGTGGCGCAGTGGTTGAGAGTCCACCTGCCGATGCAGGCGACACGGGTTCGTGCCCGGTCCGGGAAGATTCCACATTCCACGGAGCGGCTGGGCCCGTGAGCCATGGCCACTGAGCCTGCGCATCCGGAGCCTGTGCTCCGCAACGGGAGAGGCCACAACAGTGAGAGGCCCGCGTACCGCAAAAAAAAAAAAAATCCTGGTGGAATATATTCCTTGTAATTGAGTAGATATATTTTAAAAATAAACTTTAGTTTTTCTTTCTTCTAGGACCATAGATCGTTCTGTTTTTAAGCCAATTGTTCAAATAGCAGTGATTGAAAACTCTGAATCACTGGACTGTCAGTTATTGGCTGTCACACATGCAGGTATGTTGTTTTATTTATATGTGTGCTATTACTGTGATAACTTTTTATAATCTTCAGGTTTGGAAATTTATGACTGAAAATATTTTTACTTCTGTATCAATTATAAGCCATATTAATAATTCATAAATTTAAGGCTTTTGAAAAATCAGAAGATTCCACTCACTCCGTCTCCTCTTTTTATAGATGTAAAACCAGGCCTGAAAGGTAAAGTGGCTAACATTTAGTGACAGAGCCTGAACTGGAACGCAGGCTCCCTTGTCTTATACTTGTAGGTTCTTTCTACTGAAATGTGTTGATTTACCTCTCAATTCCAAGTGATGTCTTAGAAACCACTTCAGCTGGTAGTACGCATGGGGATTTAAGATCAGTCAGGAAAGTGATATATGGCTTTAACAGAGTTCTTTGTTTTTCTGTGGAATTGTTTCAACAACACATGTACCTCATGTCTTTTATTTCCTGTTAATAATGGATAATTTTACCCCATCATCAGGTGTAAGACTGTATTTCAGCACTTGTCCGTTCAGACAGCCATGGACACGCCCTAATACATTGACACTGGTCCACATCCGCTTACCTCCTGGATTCTCAGCATCTTCAACGGTGGAAAAGCCTTCAAAAGTACATAAAGCTCTCTATAGTAAAGGTAAATTCTGAAATACTATCAGATTTAATACTAGATTCTTAAAATTATTAAAATTAGAATGCATTTTGAGGCATTTGAAAATAACATTTCCAGTGAAGTTCAGGATGTTTTGAGTTTTTTTAATCCAGGAACTCTTTTTTTATATTAGCTTATATTTCAAATTTTTCATTGGCATATATATTAAAAATATAGTTTTTTAAAGTAAGTACTTTTAAAATTGTTTTATTAGCCTTGTACATGAACTCACTGGTCAAAATCAGTGTTATAAACTGTTATAAACAGTTATAAACTGCTATAAACTTAAAATGACTTTTCTGATACCATGCCTGCTTTGTCAGTGTTTTTATGGGATATGGAGAGTTTTGCCTGTCAAAATATGAAATTTTAATAACAAACTCTTTTGGATTCATAATTAAGTTTAAAAAATGAGATTCTAGTTAAACATCAAAACTTGAAAAATCCATATGTGGTTTTCCCCAATATGTGAAAGCATTTGTAAAACAATTTGTTTTTATTTTCTAATCATTTTCAAGCCTTTTCTCTGCTATTCTACTGTGTCTTCTAATATTTTATTTTTCAACGTCCAAATTAAACTTTCCTTTACAAATAGAATTTTTTCAAGTACATTGTATCATGTACCTTCATTGCATTTTTAATAACAGCTTTAATTGAGATATAATTTCATACCTTTTAAAATGTACAATCTATTAGTGTTTAGTTTATTCACGGAGTTGTACAACTATCACTACTGTCTAATTTTGGAACATTTTCATCACTGCAGAAAGAAACCCTGTACCCATTAGCTGTCACTCCCTATTTCCCCCTTCTCCCAGCCCTGGGAAATCACTAGTCTACTTTCTGTTTCTATGGATTTGCCTCTTTTGGACATTTCATTTAAATGGAGTTGGAAAATACAGGACTGGCTTCTTTCACTTAGCATAATGCTTTCAAGGTTTATCTATTGTAGCAGGTTCTTTTTTTTTTTTTTTTTTTTTTTTTTTTTTTTAAAAATTTTTTGCTGAATAATATTTCACTGTATGAGTGTACCACATTATAATTACCCAGTCCTCATTTGGTGGGCATTTGGGTTGTTTCTCTTTTTTGGCTATTATGAATGATGTTGTTATAAACATTTATGTACAAGTTTTTGAGTGGACACATTTTCATTTCTTTTGGCTATATACCTAAGAATGGAATGCTGGATCATATGATAACTTTAGAAATGTTAAAATGTGAAAAAACAAGTTGTGTTTACCTGAAAGAAATGCAGTATCAGGTCTAGAACACTTAATAATGCTACCCTGGCACTAATTATATATCCTTTTAGGGGATTTATTTTTGTTTATTTTGCCACTTGTTTATTTATAAAGATTAATGCTGTGTATTTATGTATCTGTATTAATGTCACTAATTATTAATGTCACTAATAATCATAATAATTATGATTATTGAGGATATATATTATTTGACATCATATAAGATTTTACATATTAAACTTTTAGGTATTCTACTGATGGCAGCCTCAGAAAATGAAGATAATGACATTTTGTGGTGTGTCAACCATGATACATTTCCTTTCCAAAAGCCAATGATGGAAACCCAGGTACGTTATCCTGAGAGATTATAAAGAATTTTTTACATAATTTTAAGTGAAGAATAAAATTATGAGAAACTTTATCTTCTGATTTATTATTGTTTGCTTCTAATAATCTTATATGATTAGCAGTCATACTGAAAAGAAGTATATACTGTTAATTTTTTGTTTTTCCTCTGTGAGATTAGAAGTCATTATGGTACTCATTAAAAAAACCTTTAACAAAAACATTGGAACCCTTTTAGAATGTTCTTCATAATGTACCTGAAAATGCCTATATCTTTTCTGAAATGATCTTTGTCCCACTTAAATATATTATATTTTTATAGTTATTATTAGGCCATCCATTATAGTTATGACTCAGAATTTTATTCTTATGATCTCTTTAATTTGTAGTTCTGCCTAAATATTTAACGTTTTTTCTTTTAATTATAGAAAATTTCAAATATATGCAAAAAATAGAATGGTAAACTGAACCCCACATTAAGAAATTACCCATTTCTCCATCTTGTTTCATATCTCTTCCCCACGTATATAAATGTATACACACAAACACATGATTGTGTTTTAAAAGTAAATATCACATATACCACAAAGTCAGCAGAGAGGTCCTGGGTGAGAGGTGCGGCCCCGGCCTGTCCTGGCCCAATCCCACACCTAGGCCACCCACCCCAGCCCCCAGGCCAGGAGATGATGAGAGGAAGCCATCTCTACTCGCTCCCCTTGCTGTCCCCTACTCCACTCCCATTTGTCCTCCTAGATGCCCTAGCGTAGCTCATGTTACCTGCCCCCAGAGGCTGCTGATCAAACGAGATAGACCAGCCCCCACTAGGGTGTGAATGTCTGAGACTCTCTTTGGAGCCATCTCTTTAAAGGCATTTTGGTTCTAGTGTCACTAGCTGCTTCTGGTTATTTTCAAATGTGAACCCTTCTGGTTAGGGGGAGTGGGAAAAGGTGTGTGTAGATGGGAGGAGGAAGAACCAATTCCTGGGAATGGGGGCATGGTTTGAATGGGCTCTTCCAAGTTTCTGACATGGCCTAAGCAGCTGGGGTAGAGTTAGGAGGTAGGTATGGAGGCAAGGAGCACCTTTCTCAAATTCTCTTCTCTATCCTTTGAACTTTACTGAGCACATACTGTGTTGCCTCATTATGCGACAGACTGTAAGGATTCAGAACTCAGGAAGATATAAACCCTGTCTTGTTGGGAACACAGTGTTAGGGGGTGCAGGTTTGAAATCTGGCTCTATTTCCTCAAAGCAGTGACTCAAAGGACTAACATGTCTCTGGTCCTCAATTTCCTAATCTATAACAGTTTTAATAGTACCTACCTCTGTGGGGTGGTTGTGGGATTAAATGAGTTCATGTGTGTAAGGTGCTGAGAACACTACCTGGCACACAGGAAGCACTCGATAAATGTTAGCTACTTTTAAAGTAGATACTATATATCATATATATCATATCACTTCATCTCTATAATACTTGAGTTCTCAAACAAATGTGGACTTTAAATGTATATATATAAATATATAAATATAGCTCATGAACTTTAATCAAATTCTGGTCTCCCAAAAACAGCTATAAAAGACATTAGGTCAATGGGAAAATTCTGTATTGACTGGGCATTAGATTGTATTAGAGAAATGTTAATATTCTTACATGTTAGGATAGTATAGTGGTTATGTTAGAAAACATCCTTATTTTTAAGAGGTGCATGCAAAAGTATTTAGTGGTGACATGATATTCATAACTTTCAAATGGTTCAATAAATGAAAAAATATAGAAAGAAGAAAGCAAATAGGGCAAAATGCTATCAATTGTTGAATCTAGGTATCAGGCATATGGACATTTATTGTAGTTTCAACATTTTATTAATGCTTAAAATTTTTTATAATAAAATATTTTAGAAGACTAGACACTTTTTTTAGAGAGTATCTTAGTTTAGAAAGCAGATGTAACTTCAGAAGAAAACAAAAATTGTATTTTAGCAGATTTAAGCACTGAACCTACCAGTGTAGATCAATTTACCCTGGAAAGAGGGTAGAAGGTATAGCCTTCAGTTATTGAAAAAATTGTAATTTTAGTAAATACTATTTACAGTTTATCCTAAGAAAATTTTGCCTTTGTCTTCTGGTATGAAAAGATTTACTATCATAGAAGATGCCTGATTAAAAGAAGAGACATTAGAAAATTAAATACAGACTTTTGAGAATATTCGTGCTAATGTATTATTATTAATCTGTTAAACCCTACATTATTTAAAGATTGTATTATATTTTTTAGAAGGTTTTGCCTCATGTAACTTTAATAATATGTATAAAACGTTTATTTCTTCTACATAGATGACAACTCGTGTTGATGGTCATTCCTGGGCTCTTTCTGCAATAGATGAGTTCAAAGTAGATAAGATAATCACACCCTTAAATAAGGATAATATTCCCATAACTGACTCACCAGTTGTTGTACAGCAGCACATGTTACCTCCAAAGAAGTTTGTTCTCCTCTCAGCACAGGTATGTACATCATCTGTTAAGGTGGAGAGAAAAAGAAGAGAAGCCGTATTTAACATTTTGGTCAAAGTATTCTGCAGTAGTTGCTTAATAGAGTCGTTTACCTAAGTACTTAGGAATGTTTATTCTTAAAATATTCTTAAGGAATAGTTTATAAATACCAAAAATGCGGGCCTTCTCTAGTTGTGGCAAGGGGGGGCTACTCTTCATTGCAGTGCACAGGCTTCTCATTGCGTTGGCTTCTCTTTGTTGTGGAGCACGGGCTCTAGGCACACAGGCTTCAGTAGTTGTGGCATGCGGGCTCAGTAGTTGTGGTTTGCAGGCTCTAGAGCTCTAGAGCTCAGGCTCAGTAGTTGCTCCGCGGCATGTGGGATATTCCTGGACCAGGGCTCAAACCTGTGTCCCCTGCATTGGCAGGCGGACTTTTAACCACTGCGCCACCAGGGAAGTCCCAAGAACTTGCTGTTTAAAAAGTATTGATATTATACTTTTTCTAAAATAGCATTTCTATCAATAGTATTCAGCATAAAATTAGTAAAACAAGCTATGTTTATTTCTTACCATGTAGTCCTCACTTGTTAAAAAAACAATTTTTTAGTATTTATTTTTTGAGTAGCAATGCATTGACAATTCCACTGGTAAGCAGAGGGGTATACACGATAAAATCTCCCTTCTGGTTTGGGTCCCCTCCCTACAGACACCCATGTCATCAGAATCTATATCTTTCCAGAGATATGATATCAATATACAAACAATACAAGTATATTTATAAACAAACATTAGCATATCGTATGCACTGTTTTATACTTTGCTTTTTATGTTTCAAAGATACATTTTAGATATCTTTCCATAGTAATATATAAAGAACTTTCTCATTCTATTTTATATTTGAAAGGCATTCCTTTATATGGATGTACCATATTTAACTAGGCCCCTATTAATAGATCATCTTTTGCCTTTAAAAGTAATGCTGTGGGCTTCCCTGGTGGCACGCTGGTTGAGAGTCCGCCTGCCGATGCAGAGGACACGGGTTTGTGCCCCAGTCCGGGAATATCCCACATGCTGCGGAGCAGCTAGGCCCGTGAGCCATGGCCTCTGGGCCTGCACATCCGGAGCCTGTGCTCCACAACGGGAAAGGCCACAACAATGAGAGCCCGGCGTACCACAAAAAGATAAAAATAAAAAATATAATGCTGCAACCTTGTGCATATATCGTTTTGCCTGTGTGTGAGTAAAGCTGTAGAATTACATCTACTGGATCAAAAAGTATGTGTGTTTATCAATTTGATAGATGTTGCCAGGTTCCCTGTATATATACATACATTCACTATCAGTGAATGTTGAGTGCTTGTTTCCTTACATCCTGTGCAAGTACAATATCCCATCGTATTAAGAGTGAGATTGACTGTCTGTTCTAGCGTTTATTTTTCTGTGAATTGTCTATTCCTATTCTATGTCCACTTTTCTATTAAGTTGTCTTTTTTATTTATAGAGGCTCTTTATATGTCAAGGAAACTAACTTTTTGTGATTTAGTCTCAGACATTTTTCCTGGTTTGCCATCTTATTTTGTTTACTGAGATTTTTTTTCCCATGTGGTTAAGTTTATAAGTAGTTGAAATACTCAGTTTTTGGGGGGGATTTCTATTGAAGTTAAAAAAAAATAAACCATCCGCACTCTGAAGTTCATAAAATAATTCACCCAGAGTTTCTTCTAGTACTGTTACAGTTTTATTTTGTCCTGTCTGTTTGGAATTTATCCTGTTTTAGGTATGAGTATGAACCCAGCTTCATTTTTCCCCAAAGTGGACATACTTGTGCCAACATGATTAATGAAATATCTAACTTTGATCCTTTAGTTTGAGGGGCAGCTTTTATCATATATTAAATTCTAGTGCTTACTTGAGCCTATATCAGAACTTTCTGTTTTGTTCCACTTATCTGACTGTTTATTCATGTGCTAATACCATGCATAAGATAAAGGTTTATAATATGTTTGTGTCTGACAGAGCCTGCACCCTTTTGCTTTACTTTTTTAGGGCGGAGGGGCAGTGTTCTCTTATTAAGTTTTCTGCATGGATATATAGATCTAGTATAGGCTAGGAATTGAAATGTAGATGATCTTTTTGACCAGTTTACTTCGTATTCTTGAAGTTATTTTTTTGTTTCATTGCTTTTATTAAATAACGTAGCAAGGTCAGTTGCTACTAGCCATGCTTGATAAATCTATTATTCATCCTCTTTCTTTTTGAACTTCTTAGGGGAGTCTTATGTTTCATAAACTTAGACCTGTAGATCAACTGAGGCATCTACTTGTGAGTAATGTGGGTGGAGATGGAGAAGAGATTGAAAGATTCTTTAAATTACATCAGGTAATTATTTGTACCTTTTTTTTTATTGTGATGATATTATGTGAGTTAGGATCAAAATACCGTGGTTAATACCAGTCTTCCTTTCTTTGCCTTAATCACTGTATGTGTACTGGTACTTGGGAGCAGTATTAATATGTTATAAGGGTTTATGGTAAATGCTCAAATTTTTGTTCTGTTTTTGATAAATTCTTATCATTAAAGTGTACTAGTAAGAGTGTGATGTTCAAATTATATGATGAATGTATTTTTATTAAAAGGACAAGATATTTATAGATAAATAACTTTTTTAATTTAAAACTTTTTTTTTTTTTTTTTGCTTAATGACATGAGGAAAAAACTTGAGGCAGTATGATGGGGACTTTAGTATTTTAAAGCTACAACTAGAAATGATGAGGTAAAACTGGGAATGCTTAGTTTAAAATCAGGAATATCAGATCAAAGTTAAATATACACACTCTGAATTCAAACTACCAGCTCCACCATCAGAGTAGATTACTTGAATTCTCTGAGCTTCCATTTCCTCATGTGTAAAATGTGTATTAAATTATAATATGTGGAATGAGGATTAATATGCTCTAAACTCTTAAAATAGTGCTTGGCACATGACAAGTACTTAATAAATGTTAGCTATTATTGTTATTTTCTAAAAGGTTAAAACACCATGAGAAAAAAACCTGGGGGTAGGGGGGGACTAAACCAGAAACTAAAGTAGAATCTAGATAAAAAGAAAAAGAGAACATCCTTTAATAACAGCGCCTGTGATAAACTTTAAAACCAATAGTGTTTACTTCTTTTTCATACCAGCTGATTTCATTCATTCAGCAAATATTTATCAAGTACCTGCTCTGTGCTAGGCACAGGTTTAAACACTGGATACAGAAGTAAACAAAACTTCTTTTGAAATGTTTATGTTTTACATAAGGAAAGATACTCTTTTTTTTTACAGGAAGACCAGGCCTGTGCAACTTGCCTTATTCTTGCTTGTTCCACTGCTGCCTGTGACAGAGAAGTATCTGCTTGGGCCACTCGGGCTTTCTTCAGGTATATATCACTTTCTTTTATTCTTGGCCACTTTTTTTTTAATGGTTGCATTGGCTAATGTGGTTGTTTAAGGGTTTGCAAAACAGTTGAGCAACTATATAGGCAAGTTAGTAAAATTTAAATTGGAAAGGTGATAATACTATTGGAAGCGACTAGATTAGCATAATTTATGCATTGTTACTCTTTCTCTGGATTCTCTTCTCCAACTTCTTTAGTCTTCTACCTCAGTTATTATCTATCTTTTCTACTTCCTCAAACACTACCAGTTCTGCTTTATGTGTATCATTTGCATTGAGAAATTGAATCACTTTAAGAAAACTTGGTATCAGAGAGATATTATTTGGAAAATATTTAGCTAAGAATAAATATAAAATGCAATTTTGTTTAAAAGAATTTTTTGAGTAGTCTAACCATAATCTAGTATGAAAATTACAGTACCATATACTTATTAAATACATTCTATGCATTGCAGACTCTTCTTTAGAAATTGCCAGAGTCCCTTATGATTCTTCTTGTTAGCAATTTGAAGTCAACATTTACTAAATAAGTATTTTATTATGTATCTGTGTATATTTCACTGTCAACACAATGCATTTAAAGTCTCTAATGTTTTTTTAAATATGTATTTATTTATTTATTTATGGCTGCGTCGGGTCTTTGTTGCTGCATGTGGGCTTTCTCTAGTTACGGCGAAAGGGGACTACTCTTCATTGAGGTGCACAGGCTTCTCATTGCAGTGGCTTCTCTTGTTGTGGAGCACGGGCTGTAGGCACGTGGGCTTCAGTAGTTGTGGTGCTTGGGCTCAGTAGTTGTGGCTCGCGGGCTTTAGAGCACAGGCTCAGTAGTTGTGGTGCACGGGCTTAGTTGCTCTGTGACGTGTGGGATCTTCCTGGACCAGGGATTGAACCCATGTCCCCTGCATTCACAGGCAGATTGTTAACCACTGTGCCACCAGGAAAGTCTCTAGTGTTTAAAGCATTTATTTTGAAGCTAAGCAGGACTTGAAACAGTTCTAGCTTTTAAGATGTATAGTTTCACTGAATAAACTCAGCCCCTGTTGTCATAAAAATAGGTATGGTGGTGAAGCACAGATGAGATTTCCAGCCACTCTCCCCGCTCCCAGTAATGTTGGTCCCATCCTGGGGTCTCCTGTCTACTCTGGTGAGTATGAAACATTGCAATGAAACTGTTTCTAATAGAGTTGAATTTTAGAAGCTTTGTAGCATATTTTAATGGATAAAAAATTTCATTGTATTTTCTTTACTGCTACTGCATTATTAGGGAATAATTCTATAGATATCTGACTCTTAGTGTTATGATATATTAATATTGAATCTTTAGTGTATACTGGGAAACAAGATATAACCAGTAGTATTTACAGAACTCATTTGTTATTTATTCAAAAGGAAAGAGTTGAGAGGTTTAATAACAAACTCCTATCTCAATGTTTTCCAAAGTGGGGATTGTTAGAAAGTTGCTGGGAAATGAGTCCCTAATTCTTGAATATATTATGGGTGGTGCCACTCCTCTCTCTTACACTTAGAAACAGTTTCTGTGTCTAATTTTGATCAGGTACAAAAAAACTGGGAGATAATTTTATAAATCTTTATATTCTTCTTTCTTTTTAGGTTCTCCTGTTCCTAGTGGTAGTACATACCTGAATCCATCCTTTTTGGGAACACCATCTCAAGGTACCTCTTTTCTTTGTTTTAGGTTGCTACTACTATTCTTTTTGAGGAGCTAACATTGTGAATTATTATTCTTAATGCTTAGAATGGGAAAGATTAACTTGTCCTATTCCCCTGAAAATAATGTAGTTTAATAGAAGTGGCATCCAAGCAAGTATTGGCATTTGGCCATGAATACCTTTACTTAGTGGACCTGGAAAGCCCCCTTTTTGAGTATCAGGACTTAATTACCAGCCCTGAACTGTATAATTAGTCCTGTTTTACTCCCAGCATTAATGTGCAGTGATTGCAAGCTTGCTTTCCTCTTCATCCTGCATTGCCCACACTTGAAAGCCAACTTGGGAGTTCCTCTCCAAGTCTAAATCTCTCTTCTTATCAAGGAAAACCAAATTAAATAACTATTTATTTCAGTATTTTTGTAATTGTTTTTACCTGTGGGTCTATGGACAACTGACTTGGGTTATTGAGAATTCTGAATATTTAAGGTTAAGTTTTAAGATTTGTTTTTCTTACGTGTGTACAAGGTGTTCATCCTCCTGCTATGTCAACTCCAGTGTGTGCTATGGGAAATCCAGCAACTCAGGCCACAAGTATGAGTTGTATGGCTGGACCAGAGATTGTGTACTCTGGAAAACACAATGGTATTTGCATTTACTTTTCTCGAATCATGGGGTAAGTTTTTCATGGGATAATTAACTATTGCTTACCTTGTTCTATTGTGTATAGTTGAACATTTTAAACTTTAAATTTGGGACATCATTTGTGCCTACTAAATTTTACTTATAGTTTAAGCTCACTTGTCCTTTAATAAGATTGTTTTCTGTCATTCAGCTTTTTTATTATCTAACCATCTATATTTGTTAGTGTGTTTTATATATGTATATATATCTTCAAACTATATCTACATATACTAATATGTAGTGTAACAAACCACCCCATAACTCAGTGACATGTGTCTGCAAGTCAGTTAGGCAGTTCTGGTCTTGGTTAGGCTCACAATGCATTTGAAATCAGCATTGAGGTTGAAGAGAGTTCTGTCACTCTTGGCTGGACTCTCACATGTTTAGGGTTATGTTTGTGTGTTGGTCTAGAATGGCCTCAGCTGAGACAGCTGGATTGTTCTCCACATGGTCTCTCATCCTCTAGCAGGCTAGTCAGGGATCATAGACTTGGTGGTGGTAAGGTTCCATGAGAGAGAGTAGACACTTGCAGAGCCTCAGGATGCCTAGGCTCAGAATTGGTCTGCTATCACTTCTGCCTGACTTACTTGGCAGGGGGACATCTCCAGGCCAGCCCAGATTCAAAAAGTGGGAAATAGACTCCTCGTTATAAAGGAGGCTTCAGAGTCATATTGTAAAGAGGATAGGTATAGGGAGGGATAAAGAATTACAGCCATTTTTCAATCATTCTACCAGATCCACTTAATTATCATGTCTGGTGTGTATTTTTCTTATATTTGAGTTGTATGCTTTCATATGAATCATTTGCTTAAAAATGTGAAACAGTGCAGAACTCACTTTATAAGCTTCTTTGTTTCCAATTTATTACCCAGGGTCTTTGATTTTTCTTCAACAGTATTTCATTATGTGAAATGACTTAGATCTGTCAGGTTTGGAAATTTTCCTGGTTTTTTTGTTCTTTCAGATAACTTAGTAAAATGTTAAATGAAGTCATTGCTACACTTTAAAAACTAAATAAACACATAGAAAGGAATTTACTACTTATTGTAATTGTTTTTATTCATCTACAGCACAATCATTAAAACATTTTTTGTTCCAGAAACATCTGGGATGCTAGTTTAGTTGTGGAGAGAGTATTCAAGAGTGGCAACAGAGAGATCACTGCAGTAAGTGTGTTATATAAATAACAGTATTCCATTATCTCTGTGGAGCCAGTTTATGTTACTAATGGGGAAGTAGATTGTTTTATATCTCTTGATGTTATAAACAACATGCAATGATTATTCCGTTATATACATGTTTGTGTACTCGTCCAGTAAACTGTTCACCCCCTGAGTTACATCTCAGCTCTGTCACTTACTAATGATGAGTAAATTTCTTAACATTTCAGAGCCTGATATCTCACAGTAAAATGAGAATGTATCTCCCTCATAACATTGTTATGAGGGCTAAATAGAATCAGTCCTAATACTTAATGTTGCTCAAAGTTACAATTTAATGTTTTGCTTATATGCCCCCAAACTCCAAGAACCTAGCACTAATTTCCATGTATTGGCATACTTTCCAGAGTGCTTTAAGAAACACAGAAATTGTACTATCATAAATTCAGGTATTAAAGGTTTTTTTTAATGTGAAGTATGCATGCAATTTATTTTAAGCTTTTTTTCTTTTTAAGATGGAAAGATACTAAATATCTTTTTAACTCTGATACTCTATTTTAAAGTTCTAAATTTTAAAGTTTCTCAGAATCAGAATGTATTAACATAGTATGTGATTCCATTTGTGTGAATTTCGAACAGGCAAAACCAGTCTATATTCTATGATAGAGGTAAGAAAAGTGGTCGGTTACCTAGGAGGTAGAATGACTAATGACTAGAAAAGGGGCAATAGGGAACTTTTTTGGGTGTTGGAAATACCCTGTATTGTGATCTGGGTGGTGACTATATAAAGATGTAAAAAGTTATCAAGGTATTCACTTAAGATTTGTGTATTTTACTGTCTGTAAATTATACCTCATTAAAACCAGAGCAGCAGGGGGTGAGGGATGTGGGTGTCTAGCCCTTTATTCTGGTCACCAAGTATAAATTGATAAAAGAAATAACTTTACTGTTTATGAAGATAGGGTACCTTGGAATTAAAACTTCATGTTCAATTATGGGTATACAGCATATGTGTGTTTTATAGAAGCTTTTTTTTCATTGTTTTTAAATGTTTGAAAATATTTCCTTTCTTTCAGATTGAAAGTAGTGTTCCCTCCCAGCTGCTGGAGTCAGTGCTACAAGAACTGAAAGGTTTGCAAGAATTTCTAGACAGAAACTCCCAGTTTACAGGAGGACCATTAGGAAATCCAAAGTAGGAATAAATAAGATTTATTTCCCTTTTTTTTCTGAGATTTAATTTACATGTTATAAAATTCATCCTATTAAAAAGTTTCATGGTTTTTAGTATATTCATAAAGTTAAACTATCATCACCACTATCTAGTTCCAGAACATTTGCATCACACCAAAAAAGAAACCCTATGCCCACTAGCAGTCACTCCATGTCTTAATTCAAGCTGAAATAACAAAGATACCATAAACTGACTGGCTTAGACAACAAACATTTATTTTTCATAGTTCTGGAGGCTGCAAGTCTGAGATAGGGTGCCAGCATGGTCAAGTTCTGGTGAGGACCTTCTTCCTGGTTTGCAGACAGCTGCTTTCTTTTTGTGTTGTTACATGGCAGAGAGAAAACCAGACAGCAAGTCCTCTGGTTTTTTCTTAGAAGGGTAGTCATCTTATCATGGGTCTCCACCTTCATGAGCTCACCTAAACTTAATTACCTCCCAAAGGCCATACCTCCAAAAATACCATCGCTTTGAGGATTACTATGAATTTGGTGGGACACAAACATTCAGTCTGTAACACTGCAAAGTTGTCTTCCCCTAGTCCCTGGCAAATACTAATCCACTCTCTGTTTCTATGGATCTGCCATATTTTGGATCTTTTATGTAAATGCAGGTATACAGTATGTGGCCTTTTGTTTCTGGCTTTTCTCTTAGCATAATATTTTCATGTTCATATATTATGGTGTATATCAGTACTTGGTTTCATTTTTCAGTTCATCATTTGATGCACATTTGTCTTGTTTCACCATTTTTTCTTTTTCTTAATTGATTTTTTGTTTTTTATTGAAGTATAGTTGATTTACAGTGTTGTGTTTCGGCTTTTTGGCTATTATGAATAATGCTGATATGCACATTCCTGTAAAAGTTTTTGCATGGACACATGTTTAGGATGAACATTTTTTGTTGCTGTTGTTATAAAAGTAATATGGACTTGTAAAAAATTCACATCACTCCCCTGATGAATTAATTTGAAGTATGACAATATAAACTTTCATATGTGAACATACATGAATATATGCATATACACATATGAATGTATATTCATATATGAATATACATTTCTTTTTTAATACAATTTTTAAAGCTTATACTCCATTTATAGTTACTAAAAAATAATTGGCTATATTCCTTGTGTTTTACAATACATCCTCATAGCCTGTCTTATACCCAGAAGTTTGTACCTCTCACTCCCCTACCCTTATATTGCCCACCCCCACCCACCCCCTCCCCACTGGTGACCACTTGTTTGTTCTCTGTATCTGTGAGTCTGCTTCTTTTTTGTTATATCCACCAGCTTGTGTATTTTTTAGATTCCACATATAAGTGATATACAGTATTTGTCTTTCTCTGATTTATTTCACTTAGCATAATGCTCTGCAAGTCCATCCATGTTGCTGCAGATGACAAAATTTCGTTCTTTTTTATGGCTGAGTAGTAGTCCACTGTAAAAATAGGGTCTAAGTAGGCATACTTTTTGTGAAACGTTGTTTACATTCAGTATATTCTTTAGAGCATTCCAAAAATCAATAGAATAAATTCTGTTTGTGTTGGCTACATGTTATTCCATTATATTCAAGCAATTAGTGGTATAACTCTATGCGTAATTAGGTTGTTTCTATTTCTTGGTGGTATAAACAGGGTTCAGTGAGTATTCTTTATACATGTTTGTGTACTTGTTCAGTAATATTCAGGTGAATTTCTTTAGAAGTAAAATTTGGGGATATAAGAGCTTTTAAAAATGTTGGTATGTAGTATTTGGTTGTCCCCTGAGAAGGTTATACCAATTATTTTTAGCCTTCAGAACTCTTTTAAGTGTATCTTAACATGTATATATTGATTTCTAGCACCTGCCACTTTTTAATTCTGTTTAAGAATCTTTGTCTTTTAACCCCATCTCATTTTGTTGGGGCTAATTAAATGTTTGATCTGTTTCTCACCATCCTGAACTTGTGGGCTTTGTTGTGGTTTGGGGTTTGTTTGTTTGTTTTTCTCCCGCTTTACTGGATTGATTTAAAAGTTTTATGTATGACTTTTCTTCTTCTGATAGTTTTAAATTCTGAAAAATATACATCTCAGTCATCATTAACAATTGAACAGAATCTATTATCTTACCTCCTTCCCCTGTACTCTACCACTGTCCTTCCTACATAGCTGGAATTTTAGTCGGAAGGTGTTTTTCTCTTTTTCTTTTCCACCATTATATTATTCTTCTGTTAATAGTTTCTAAGCAGTTTATTGAATTAACAATTATAGCCTCAATTATAACGTTTGATTTTGTAACCTACTACTTTGCTAATTTCTCTTTACTGTTTTTAGTAGTTTTTTTCATTGAGTTTTTTGGATTTTTCAAATATGTCATCCTGTCATCTGCAAATAGAGATAGTTCTACCATTTTCTTTCTAACTCTAGTTGCTTTCTTCTGTCTGCATAGGCTAATATCTCCAGCATAGTGTTAAAGAGTGGAGATAATGGTGCACATCCTGCTCTTATTCCTGACTTCAATGGGAAAGTGTGTAGTGTTTCCCCACTAAAGAAGATGTCTAGATACAGTTTAACATGATAAGAAAGTATCCATCCATTTCTATTTTATTGAGTATTTTTATAAAGTGAGTATTGAAGTAGGTCAAATGTATTGTCTATATCTTATAGAGATGATTGTATAATTTTTTTCCTTACCTTTATTAAGAGATTTCCTAATTCAACCAACCCTCACAACATTAGTCTCACTGAGTATGGGAATTTTTAAATAGCTTTTTCTTTTTTTTTTGCAGTATGCGGGCCTCTCACTGTTGTGGCCTCTCCCGTTCCGGAGCACAGGCTCCGGACGCACAGGCTCAGTGGCCATGGCTCACGGGCCCAGCTGCTCCGCGGCATGTGGGATCCTCCTGGGCCAGGACACGAACCTGTGTCCCCTGCATCGGCAGGCGGACCCCCAACCACTGTGCCACCAGGGAAGCCCCTAAATAGCTTTTTGAGATAAAACTTACATACCATAAAATTCACTTGTTTTAAATCAGTTCATTGATTTAGAAAATATATAGAATTTCTTCAGTCATGACAACAATCCATTTTTAGACCACATCCGTCTTGTTCATTTGCAGTCACTCCCCATTTCTGCCCTTCAGCCCCAAACAATTACTACTGTATTCTATCTCTGTAGATTTACATATTCTTGACATTTCATATAAATGGAATCATACAGCGTGTGGTCTTCAGAGTCTTAGTATCTTTGCTTTGCTTCTTTGGGTATGTTCCATGCACATACAGCCTGGGAGGTGAGCCCAGAAGTTGTGTTCGTCTTCCTCAGAATTAGGGGATCTCCTCCTCCACTCTCTTCTTGCTCTGATTTCCCAGATATTCCCTAGCTCCCAGAGGCCTCTTTTACTGGTCCTCTGGATAGAAAGTCAGTGTTTTCTCCCAGTTTTCACTGTCTTATCATACAGCTTTGCAGAAGTGGTGGTGCCTTTGGGGCAAAGCATCAAGAGAAATAACTGGTTCCCTCCAAACTTTTTGGACCACACGGCCCCCTTTTCTCAGTTCTTCTGCTCCAGTGTTTCTCAACCTTGGCACTGTAGACATTGTAGACTAGATAATTCTTGGTGCTGGGGACTGTCTTGTGCATTGTAGGATGTTTAGGATTATCCTTGGCCTCTGCCTACTAGATACCAGTAGCTCTCTCCAGTTATGACTCGAAATGTCTCCAGACGTTGCTGAATGTTCCTTGGGAGTTTTACTCACCATACTGTTTTGAGACTCAGATCACCTTTGGACAAAGCCTGAAGATAAAGGAATGGGGGAGAATCCAGTATACTCACCTCCATATGGATTATCATTCGAGTTTTGACTTCCCCTCATCAGTCTGTGTGCTATTAGAGTCCTCAGGTGAATAGTTGCTTTTTGTATAGTGTCCAGAGTTCCCACTTGTAGTCAGTGAGAGAGACTGTAACAGGCTTACTCCATCTTGGTCAGCACCATCAGTTGAGTTTTTTCTTTAGTATCATTATGTGAATCTGGTTTCAAACGTTTTTAATGTGTTTTAATCCATTGCAGGTTGTTTTTTCAATGGAAAATTATCCCAACCTTTTGCCTCTTCAGACTGCTCTGGAGTCCTTTTTGACAGTATTTGGTAGCATCTTTGCTTTCTAGCATGACAGGACATTTCAGGCTCATTTGGTACAATTCTTGCCCTAGAACTGGATTTGGCCATTTCTCTAGGGAGCCCTGGTTTCTTTTGGTAGGAAAGGGTATTAGAGACTACAGCTAAAGGTATTAATTCCTACTGGTCATGCTATATGTTGTTTTGTTTTTTATTTTTTTAAAAACAACAAAATTATGAGTTTGTATTGTTTTTCAGTTCAGCTTTAAGATTAAAGAGAATTTGCTCAGTTTCTTTTATAGTATAGTTGTATTGCTTTTACCCTAAAAATTTTGTTTTCTAACAACATTGACATAATCACTTATGAACTTCATCCGACAGTGTACCTATTATAGCTTCAGTAGTCATACTTTTCTTTTTCTTGCCATGCTCCATGGCTTGCAGGATCTTAGTTCCCCCATCAGGGATCGAACCCGTGCTCCCTGCATGGAGTCTTAACCACTGGACTGCCAGGGAAGTCCCTCTTTTTTATTTTAAATGGAAGCATAGTCCATTTACAGTATTATATTGGTTTCAGGTGTACAGCATTGTGATTCAATATTTTTACAGATTATACTCCATTGGAAGTTATTACAAAATAATGGCTATAATTCCCTGTGCTATACAGTACATCCTTTTTGCTTATCTATTTTTTACATAGTATTTTGTATCTCTTAATCTCATACCTGTAATTTGCCCCTTCCCTCTTCCTTCTCCCACTTAGTAACCACTAGTTTGTTTTCTATGCCTGTGAGTCTGTTTCTGTTTTGTGTATACATTTTTTGTTTAAGTTCATCATTCTTTTCTTTGCATCCCTGAAGTTGCATTAAGAGCTGAAATAATCAGATTCTTCACCAAATGAGCACCAAATGCTTTTATTAGCTCATTTCTCTCAGTGACCAGTATTTCCTGACAGCAGGTTCTTTGCTTTTCACTTTTGTCCTGAAGTTTTCATATCTGTAAAATGGTATTCTTAATAATACGTACCTTATAGAGTTGTTGTATTATGTTAAATCATTGGTGGGGACAGAAAGCAAGTGTTTGATAAATGGAAGCTATTGTTATTAACCATTTACTCTCAGTGAAAATTTAAGCATCTGAGAGATTAAAATGCTCCAGGTGTAAATTGTTGTATTGATTTGTCAGTGATTATTTCACTAATCTACAGAGGAAAAGAATATTTACAACATATTCCAGTTCATTATATACAGAATAGGCAAATTTATAGAATCAGAAAGTAGATGAGCTGTTGCCTAGGGTAGGGCGGGGGAAATGAGAATTGACTGCTAATGGAAAGTGAGTAAAAAGGTTCTAAAATTAAGTTGTGGTGATAGTTGCACAACCCTATGAATATACTTTCTGGAATTTTTGTTTCAGTGCTACTGCCAAAGTGCAGCAGAGGCTGATAGGATTCATGCGCCCTGAAAATGGAAATACCCAGCAAATGCAACAGGAGCTGCAGAGGAAGTTTCATGGTAAATTATTGCTTCTGATCAGTTAAATGTACATGACCCCAGTAAAGAGTTTTATTAGGTGAATAGAAAAGAGTGGACATCTCTTGATAAGATAGTTTGTGGTAACAAATATTTTTATTAAAATAATACTAGTGTGATTTGAAAAGTAAGATGATATGGACATCATGTATTTCCACAACTTTCAGCTCATAAAAGGTTTTCATTTCTTCCACCAGAAAACATGATACACACTTTTTTTTTTAACTTTTTTTGGGGGCGGGGCGGGGTGCTGCATCCCACGGCCTGTGGGATCTTAGTTCCCCGACGAGCGATCGAACCCAGGCCCCCTGCAATGGAAGCGAGGAGTCCTAACCACTGGACCACCAGGGAATTCCCCAATACACACCTTTTTTTAATGAATTTTTTTATTGTGCTAAAATATACATAACATAAAATTTACCGTTTTAACCATTTTTAAGTGTACAGTTCAGTGGCATTCAGTAAGTTAAGTTCACATGATGTCCTGTAGCATGGTGATTGCAAAAAGCACCACTATCCATCTCCAGAATGTTTTCATCTTTCTAGTCTGAAACTCTGTACCCATGAAACAATAACTCCCCATTTTCCTCTGCCCCCAACCCCTGACAGTCACCTTTTTTATTTTTCCTGTCTTTGAATTTTACTACCCTGTGTACCTCATGTAAGTGGAGTCATATAGTATTTGTTTTTTTTTGTGTGACTGCCTTATTTCACTTAGCATATAATGTCTTCAGAGTTCACGTGTGTAGTGGCATGTGCTGGAATTTCCTTCCTTTCTGAGACTGAATAGTACTCCATTGTGTGTATCAACCACATTTTGTTTATCCTTTCATTTCTTGGTGGACACTTAGGTTGCCTTCATCTTTGGGGTATTGTGAATAATCCTGCTATGAACACGGTGTACAAATAGAAATTTGAGTCCCTACTTTTAATTGTTTTATTATATATCCAGAAGTGTAATTGCTGGATTATGTGTGATTCTGTTTTTAATTTTTTGAGGAGCCACCATAACTTTTCCATAGCAACTATACCATTGTATTGCTACATTTCCACTGGTAGTACACAAAATATTCCAATTCCTCCACATTGTCACCAATAATTTTTCTTTTTCTTTTTCTTTTTTTTAAAAAACATTTCTATCCTAATGTGTGTGAAGTGGTATTTCTTGGAGAGTTAAAAATGTGAATCAAATGTTAGGTTGTGTTTTTTAATTTATTATAAAAAAGTAACAACTAAGGAAACAGCAAGGGAACTGAAAAGTTCTTATAACCAATCATTATTCCAGATGTGAATTGGCATAGTAATAAAATATTGTTTAAATTTTGCCTGCCATTCAGGTTTTTTTTTAAGTTCTTTTGCCTTCTATTGTTTGAGCCAATTATTCTGGCTGATAGAACTTTGCTAGTTAAGACTCAGCTATTTACTTTTGTTCCAACGTACTTTCTTTCCTTCCCGCTGGACCTAGTTTTCTGTTCACTATTTTGTAAATTCTTCTTTCAGTACTTCTTTTCAAGTAAACTTGACAAAATACAAGCATTGGTAAGGATTTATACAAAGGGGAGCATTCAAATTGCTGACAGTATGCACTGAAATAACCACTTTGGAGAGCAATTTGATCATATATATTAAAAGCTAAAAATGCATATGCATTCAAAGCCAGCAGTTTCACTTCTAGGTATATATTCAGGAACAGTCTTTATCAGACATTTTTCCCACAATAAGTAATAATTTTTATATTATGACCCAGATGTTTAAAAGCATATACACACAACAGAATTTTAAGAAATAACTATACCTATTTTATACTCTAATATTTTTTTTCCTTTTTCATTCTATTTCCTTTTTAAGGGGAAAAAAATATCTGTCATGATTGACTGAATTGATTTCATGATTCACCAATGCGTCTTAATTTGAAAAACAGTCGTGGCAAAATCTGACTGTGTTTTCGAGGAGACCTTTTCTAAGGATATTTATTGCATTATTGTTGTAGTAGCAAAACATTGGAAACAACAGGAATGTCCTTCATGTGGAAAATGGACCTAATTGTGGTATACTTACATAATGGAACAGTCAGCAATTAAAATAAATGTATTGATATTAGATTTTTACTTATCAGTATGGGTAGCCTGTGAAAATATAACTGGGCAGAAAAAGCAATGGTGTAAATTGTCTAAAAACAGCAACATTTTTACTTTTTATGTATGCATACACACAGAGGCACTTATATATAGTGAGAGGATAAAACTGTGAATTCAACAACTCATGATCATGGTTGCCTATGAGGGGAGGAAGGAGAACAATGAGGATTTCAACCTTAACTATAGTTGTCGTTATTTGAGATAAAGTGTTGTTTTACTTAAAATAAAACAACTTAACCTGTCATTTTTCAAAACTTCATGAGTTGTGTTTTGTAATTAGAGGCTCAACTGAGTGAAAAGGTTTCACTTCAGGCAATCCAGCAGTTGGTTCGAAAATCATACCAGGCTCTGGCTTTATGGAAACTTCTTTGTGAACATCAGTTCACTGCCATTGTAGGAGAACTTCAGAAGGTAGGATATTTTTCCCCCTAAGATCGTACTATTAATTCTGTGCTTAGTTTGTCTGCTTTCTTTTGCAGTACGCGGGCCTGTCACTGTTGTGGCCTCTCCCGTTGCGGAGCACAGGCTCCGGACGCGCAGGCTCAGCAGCCATGGCTCACGGGCCCAGCTGCTCCGCGGCATGTGGGATCTTCCCGGACCAGGGCACGAACCCGTGTCCCCTGCATCGGCAGGCAGACTGTCAACCACTGCACCACCAGGGAATCCCAGTTTGTCTGCTTTTTAGTGAGCTGTAATCTTTCACTTAGGTTCAGAAGGAGATTATTTTGGGAAACATTTAGGTTATGATCAAATTAATGTGTTATGAGAAAATTGCACTAAAGCATGATAACTTGAGGGATTCATTATCAAAACCACAAGTTATTACAGTATATGAGAACTTTGTTGTGATATGTGAATGAACTCTACCAAAAATATTTTTCAAACAATAGATTGTAACCTTTATTTGGGCTACGGATCCCTTTGGGAATCTGATCAAAACTCTTTCTCACCACCTTCAGAGGATGCATACAGACACATACATAAAATTTTTGCATGTAATTTCAAGAAGTCCAGTGACCTAAATTAAAATTAAACATTCCTACTTTAAAGAAAAATGTTTGCCACTGTGGAAAATGAATGGTTCTTGCTGTCCTCATTGGAATCCTTTTTAAGGATAAAGGTAATTTGCATTTATCTAAATGTTAGGTCATTTAGGGGGAAGGTATTCCTACCTATTAATTTAATTGTGAGCATTTCTGAACGTACACAAAAGTACAGCAAGTACAACAACTAATCCCCCATACACAATTTATTTGCATTCAACATTTTCACAATTTTACCAACTTTGCTTAATCTATCCCTTATTTTCTTTACTGAATTATTTTAAAGTAGATCCCTAACATCATGTCCTTTCATTCCTGTATATTTTAATATGTATTCCTTTGGCCATTTTCTTAAATACCAATGTCATTATCACATTTAGCAATATTACCACTAATTCTTTTGGGTAACATCTAAAATAATGAAATTTCTGTGTCTTAAAAATATCTTTTTATAGATTGGTTCATTCTAATCAGAATCTAAACAGTTGGTTCACTCATTGAATTTGGTTGTTTTTTCTCTTAAATCTCTCAGTCGAGCAATTTTCTCTGTCTCTCTCTCTCTTTTTGGTGGGGGGGTGTTGCTATTGCCTTGTAGGCATCAGGTCATCAATCTTGTAGAATCCCAACATTCTGAGGTTGTCTTTACCTTCCTTGTAGTGAACTTGTTCATCTATTTCCTGAATTTTCTATGAAATGGAAGTCAAGTCTACAGAGGCTTGATAAGTTCAGTTTTTTGTTGTTGTTGTTTGTTTGTTTTTTATTTATTTTATTTGTTTTATTTTTGGCTGCATTGGGTCTTCGTTGCTGCGCACGGGCTCTCTGTAGTTGCAGCAAGTGGGAGCTACTCTTTGTTGCGGTGTGCGGGCTTCTCATTGCGGTGGCTTCTCTTATTGCGGAGCACAGGCTTTAGGTGCATGGGCTTCAGCAGTTGTGGCACACGGGCTCAGTAGTTGTGGCTCATGGGCTCTAGATCACAGGCTCAGCAGTTGTGGTGCACGGGCTTAGTTGCTCTGCGTCATGTGGGATCTTCCCAGATCAGGGCTCGAACCCATGCCCCCTGCATTGGCAGGTGGATTCTTAACCACTGTGCCACCAGGGAATCCCCAGGTCCATTTATTTGATAAAGAATAGCACATACTTTTTTTTCCTCTTTTAAAAACTCAAGTGAATATGTTTAATTATGAAAGCTATTTCCTTTTCCATGCCAGGTAGAATAATGATTTTTAGTTTTATTGGCTGGTAAGAATAATGTAGGTCAATTTTTAGCCTAGGTATCTTTTTTGTGATCCACCTTCAAAGCTTTCCTTCCCTATATGCTCAAGGAATGCAAATTAAATATTAATCCAAAAAATTTGAACATAGATTGTATATTTGCTGAAATTTAGAAAAAAGAAATAGCAGTCAGATCACTAAACAGAATGTTACTATAGTATAAATCACCTCAATACTTTAGAACTCCATTTTAGCAAGCAGATTTGTTTAAATAAGATCAAACTCCAATGTTAGAAGTCCTTGAATAATAGAATTCAAAGGTTATTTTGGAAAAATAAATGTAAGCCCAAGATTTTTTAATGTAGCTAATTGATTGTTTTTTCCTGGTTATAACTAAAGTCAGGAGGCCTGTCTCGAATTTTGACTCCACCTGGGTTTTGCTTTCCTCATTTGTAAAGTGAGATTTGGAATTGGCATACTGTGGATTCTTTTACAATTCTCAATGATTCTATGAAAATCTGTAACATTTTATTATTTTTTATAGTTTAGTATATTTTATCTTTTGAATTATAGAGTCTGTTAATGTTTTGATATTTTAAATTATTACAGAAATTTCATTCTGTGTGGAAATACAATATTCCTATATTTTTGATCAGAAGAGGATTTTCTTTTATACTCCTAGGAATTTCAAGAACAGTTGAAAATCACCACCTTTAAAGATCTGGTAATCAGGGACAAGGAACTGACTGGGGCATTAATTGCTTCTCTAATCAACTGCTACATCAGAGATAATGCTGCTGTTGATGGCATTAGTTTACACTTACAGGACATCTGCCCACTTCTGTATAGCACTGATGATGCAGTTTGTTCTAAGGTATGATGCTTTGTTACCTGTTTCAGTGTTTCTTACAGGAGGTTTCATGGTATGATGAAAGCACACTAGAATTGTAATCAGGAACTGTTGTCTTTTGTTTGACATACGACCTTGGGTAGGTCTTTTAACCTTCCATGGCATCAGGATCCTCATCTGTGTAAGAAAGACGTTGGAATATATTATTTCTTAAAATCCGTATATAAATTTTTCATAAAGAATCTTTGATAGTATTTCTAGACGGTATTTAAAAAATGGTTAACTATGCCTTTCCTTAAAAATTAAGAAAAAAATCACTAAAACTTTGTAGTAAATTAGAGCTAATTGGGCAATTTTTATTGATCCTTTCCTACAGGTGAAAAAAGTTTTAAAAATCAGTGTTGCTCAGACTGCCTGCTGACCAATAATGTATTGACTAGGCAAGAGATTTACCAGTCAAAAGCTGTCTTGCTTACATATTTGTGAGAGGAATTAAGAATAGCTAGGATTTTTTGGTCAAAAACTTTTCTGCCTAAAATTAAGAAGAAGTAAGTTTGTAGAGTTGTTTTTATCTTTGATGATAATCAACCAGATGTAAATTTAAACACAGACTAAACAAAACTTGTATTGACAGCATCATCCATGTGCTTGTATCTTTTTAAGTTCTTGTCATCTCTACTTCTAGGCAAATGAGCTTCTCCAGCGTTCCCGACAAGTTCAAAATAAGATTGAAAAGGAAAGAATGTTAAGGGAATCATTAAAGGAGTATCAAAAAATCAGCAATCAAGTGGACCTGTCCAGTGTTTGTGCTCAGTACAGACAAGGCGAGAAACAAAATGTTCTTCATACCTTCTGCTTAACTCGGAGGGATATCTTCCTTCAGCTTTCAGTAGCCCAAGTGATATGACATAGGGAATTCATTTCTTATGTCTTAGTATTCGATGACTGCACTAGCTTCTACAAAAGCTATAACGCTCTTTTTATATCTTGAAATGTGTAACTTTTTAACATTGGGGTTTCAGTCCTATTCTAGTTAAACTACTACCTGTGTTAGATTGCTTTCTGGGTTACATTTATTTTTCAGATGCTTCAGATTCTTTTGACTAATTTTAAAAATACTGCCTGTCTGCTCACTTTAAAATTACTTTAAATCAAATCTAACATAATGTAGTAACTGTTAGTACAGGTACTACTTTGAATCCTAAGATTTTTTTTCCATCAAGGAACTGCAACCCTCCTTTTTGCTATTTTAAATATGAAATTTTTTTGCAGTGAAGAAAATACATTTAATAGCTGCCTTTTAGGCATGTTGGAACCTAGTTCTTCGGTAGACTCATCAGAAATATTTTATATGATGTTGTCACCTGGGTGACTGATATACAGTAGAAACCTCATAGTAGTAAACATAATAACCTTGATCAGTATTTTTATAAGCCATCTAAGGAAAATGTATCCACTTAATAATATGCCTTAACTCTTTGTCCTTTGTCTTTCCTATTAGTGCGTTTTTATGAGGGTGTAGTGGAGCTCTCTCTTACTGCTGCAGAGAAAAAAGATCCTCAGGGTCTTGGACTTCATTTCTATAAACATGGAGAACCAGAAGAAGACATCGTGGGACTTCAGGCTTTCCAAGAAAGGTGAATTTTATCACCTTAACAGGTGCAACTTTATGGATATAGACTTTTCTTTGTGTTAAGTTTGATTGATGGTATTAGGAAAATAATATTTCAAGTACAACTCATAAAATTGAATTACGCTTTCACCTAAAAATGTCTTGTTTTATCAAAGGTGTGAATCAGTATTCTAATTATTAGCCTAGGGATAAAATTATAGCCTGGTGGGAATTCTTAAGGACCTAAATGTTTTTGAACTTGCCTCTTTGGTTTTCCTGAGATTGTATTAATGTCAATTTGAAATGCAATAACGATTTTGGAAACAAAACTGCTGCTTCACCTGCCCTACTGCCAGTGTCTGGTTCTGGATGAAGATTAGTATTGTAAAGGATGATTTTTAAATGTTCACAGATTATTAGAGACTGTTAAAAAAAAAAAAAGTATGTCCAGGGCTTCCCTGGTGGCGCAGTGGTTAAGAATCCGTCTGCCAATGTAGGGGATATGAGTTCGAGCCCTGGTCCAGGAAGATCCCACATGCCGCAGAGCAACTAAGCCCGTGTGCCACAACTACAGAGCCTACGCTCTAGACCTGTGTGCCACGACTACTGAAGCCTGTGCGCCTAGAGCCTGTGCTCCGCAGCAAGAGAAGCCACCACCATGAGAAGCCCACGCACCACAACAAAGAGTAGCCCCTGCTCGCTGCAACCAGAGAAAGCCAGTGCACAGCAACAAAGACCCAATACAGCCAAAAATAAATAAATAAATTTATTTAAAAAAAAAAAAAGTAGAATAAGCAATATTAAAAAAAAAAAGTATGTCCATAAAGGAAATACATAACCAAAGATGTGTTTCATTTTTATGAAACTTCACCCTTTTAAACAAGTGCTTCTCAAACCTATTGAAAAAGCATATGATTTGTATTTTTTTTATTTTTTTTTATTTTTATTTTTTTTGCGGTACGCGGGCCTCTCACTGTTGTGGCCTCTTCCGTTGCGGAGCACAGGCGCCAGACGCACAGGCTCAGCAGCCATGGCTCCCGGGCCTAGCCACTCCGCGGCATGTGGGATCTTCCCGGACCGGGGCACGAACCCGTGTCCCCTGCATCGGCAGGCGGACTCTCAACCACTGCGCCACCAGGGAAGCCCTGTTTTTATTTTTATTTATTTATTTTTAATTTTATTGGAGTATAGTTGCTTTACATTGTTGTGTTACTTTCTACTGTACAGCAAAGTGCATCAGCTATACGCATACATATATCCCCTCTTTTTTGTATTTCCTTCCCATTTAGGTCACTACAGAGCATTGAGTAGAGTTCACTGTGCTACACAGTAGGTTCTCAACTATGGATACTATGTATAAAATAGATAACTAATGATTTGTATTATTTTAATACCAAATTGTGTGTGTATGTGTATTTTCTCCAAAATTCTCTTTAGTTTATATTTCAATTAGATAAGATAAACTAATTGATAGCTAAATCATGGAATTGCTCCTTTTTCATTCTTTTTCAGATTAAACAGTTACAAGTGTATTACAGATACACTTCAAGAACTGGTAAATCAAAGTAAGGCTGCTCCTCAGTCTCCCAGTGTGCCCAAAAAACCCGGACCTCCAGTGTTGTCATCTGATCCCAATATGCTGAGTAACGAAGAAGCAGGCCATCATGTAAGGGACATAGCATATTTTCGTTCTGAAAATACACTGTGTTTAGATGTTCTGTGTGGTGGTGGTGGCATAACCATCTTGGAAAGGGTAGTAACTCTTAGAACTTACCATTTAAGGATTCTTGATTTCTTACCAGAAGCTTATAAGGCTAAGGAGTCATGTCGATCCTTTAACTGTGCTAATTTTTACTGTTTTCTTTATTTTAGTTTGAACAAATGCTTAAATTGTCTCAAAGATCCAAAGATGAACTCTTTAGTATTGCCCTTTATAATTGGCTAATACAAGCTGACCTTGCAGATAAACTGCTACAGGTAAAAAATATTTTTTATACCATTGTTGTTAATTTATATTTTTAAGTAGCATAACTCAGTGGGTTAAGCACATATATAGTCATAAGGAAATTCAGTTTTTCACCCTGTACCAACCGTTAGGTGTTAGTGAAAAGCCAAGTAATGTAATACATTTTCCTAGTGAGCAAGGTAGTCTGTTGGTCTAGTTTTCTTGTTATTTAGAAGCTGATTGGGATTGTTTATATTGTGGGGTGAAAATCAATGGATTATGAGTTAGGGGACCTGAACTTTGTCTTAGCTCTTCCATTAAGCCGCTTCACAAATAAATGTTCTTTCACTACCCTAAGTCATAGTGTTCCTCATTCTGTAAAATGAATATATGGCATTTGATAATTGCAAAGATGCTTTTGACCTCAGAATCTAGGAATCAATAGCTGTGTTCTCAAAGTTTATTAAAAGATTTGTAATTGGATTATAATAAATTGTTTTTATCAACCTAATGCAACTATCATAGCAATTCTTTGATTAACTGTGGTAAAACAATCATTTATAATGAGAAAAATTGCCCTCTCTTATCTGTTACTGGATTATAATATTGCTTATGTATTCATAAAACAAGGCACACCTATAAAATGATATATTTACTCTCTGAAGAGCAAGTGGGTAGTCAGAAAATGTTTCTGATTAACTTTACAATTTCCAGATTGCTTCTCCATTTCTGGAGCCACATCTAGTCCGAATGGCCAAAGTTGATCAAAACAAAGTTCGTTACATGGATTTACTTTGGAGGTATTATGAGAAGAACAGAAGTTTTAGCAATGCTGCTCGTGTCCTATCCAAATTGGCTGACATGCATAGGTATGGCCTAATAATTCTCACTGTGACAAATAATTGATAACTGGGCTATATCTAGTTACATCCAGATTTCAGATATTAAATAAAACCTTATTCAGGTTATACATATATAGAATATTTATGCTTCTACTTGGATTTATCTAAAGTTTATAGTTTTCTCTCTTTGTTTGTTTTTAATAATGTGTAGCAGGTACCAAATACCTCCTACTAAATAGACGCTCTATTCAAACTGTATTGTAAATCCTTTTCTTTAAAGTATGTCTTTAGATTCTTTCCTATTAACAGCAATTAATTACTATTTTTTTTCTTTTTTTAATATTTATTTATTTATTTTTATTTGGTTGAGCTGGGTCTTAATTGAGGCAGGCGGGCTGCTTAGTTGCAACATGTGGGCTTCTTAGTTTCGGCTCACTGGCTCCTTAGTTGTGGCATGCGAACTTTTAGTTCGGGCATGCATGTGAGATCTAGTTCCCTGACCAGGGACTGAACCCGGGCCCTCTGCCTTGGGACCGTGGAGTCTTAACCACTGCATCCCCAAGCAAGTCCCTTAATTACTATTCTTAACTAAAGGACAATAAATACTTCTCAAAGTCTTTATAATTTTAAACGTTTAACAAATTCCAGGCTAATTTCCTCTACTCTCTCTAAATTACTGAATAGGTCTTGGAGCATATATATTGAGGATTGTTAAGAATACTGATAAAGAGTGCATTGAAATTTCTAATTAGATTGTCATATCAAAAGACAACTTAAAATTTTGGACAGATCATTAATTTGACCCTCTTTTCATTTGGAATTTCCTTTGCCACAATAGTGCAGTGGTATTTCCAAAATCTGGAGATTGGTTAAGTTAGGACAAGGAGGTGTTTGAGACAAGGTTGTTATTAAACCAAGTTAATCAGAATGGTTACTTAAATCACCCAGATATGGCTAATAGCAAGTGTGAGAGTTTGTGTATCTGTGTGTGTGCTCATGCAGTTGTAATTACTGCATGTATGGGCCCAAGGCATTTTTGGTCTTCTTGCTGTCTTTGGTCATAATAGTCATTTGGTTTTTTTCTTTTTTTTTTTATTTCTTTTTTTATTTTTGGCTGTGTTGGGTCTTTGTTGCTGCACACAGGCTTTCTCTAGTTGCGGCGAGCGGGGTCTACTCTTTGTTGTGGTGTGTGGGCTTCTCATTGCAGTGGCTTCTCTTGTTGTGGAGCACGGGCTCTAGGTGCGTGGGCTTCAGTAGTTGTGGCACACAGTCTCAGTAGTTGTGGCTCGCAGGCTCTAGAGTGCAGGCTCAGTAATTGTGGTGCTTGGGCTTAGTTGCTTCACGGCATGTGGGATCTTCCTGGACCAGGGCTCGAACCCATTTCCCCTGCATTGGCAGGTGGCTTCTTAACCGCTGTGCCACCACAGAAGCCCCCTAGAGTGGCTCTTAATTGCCCTTTCATTAATATTTACTGACCTTGTTCCTTGTTAGAACACTTACTATATTCTTGTTATAAAATATTCAGAAATCCTCTAACTTTTAAGAACAGTGCCCATTGTCCATATCTACTTCAGACACAAACACATAACCTAATTTCCTCCTCATGTGAGAGACCCTATACGTCTTACCAGCTCTCAGCTTACCGTCTCTTTCCACAATAAAATCTTTTTCTGACTATTATGTTACTCTCTCTCTCGCTACACTTTTTTTTTTTAATTTATTATTTATTTATTTATTTATGGCTACGTTGGGTCTTTGTTGCTGTGCGTGGGCTTTCTCTAGTTGCAGCAAGCGGGGAGATACTCTTCATTGCGGTGCCCGGGCTTCTCATTTCAGTGGCTTCTCTTGTTGTGGAGCACGGGCTCTAGGCACACAGGTTTCAGTAGTGGCTCACAGGTTCTAGAGCACAGGCTCAGTAGTTGTGGTGCACAGGCTTAGTTGCTCCGCGGCATGTGGGATCTTCCTGGACCAGGGCTCGAATCCGTGTCCCCTGCATTGGCAGGTGGATTCTTAACCACTGCGCCACCAGGGAAGCCCTCATGACACTCTTTTTACATATGTAGGCTGCACCAAGTAAGTTGGTGGCTATAGTGTTCTTTTTTTGTTTTTTTTTTTTTGCGGTTCGCGGGCCTCTCACTGTTGTGGCCTCTCCCGTTGCAGAGCACAGGCTCTGGATGCGCAGGCTCAGCAGCCATGGCTCACAGGCTCAGCCACTCCGTGGCATGTGGGATCTTCCCAGACCGGGGCTCGAACCCGTGTCCCCTGCATCAGCAGGTGGAGTCTCAACCACTGCGCCACCAGGGAAAGCCCGAATGTTCTACTTTAAATAATTTGGAAATATTACCCATGTTTAAAATGTTTGTTTCAAGTGGGGTTTTTTTTGAGAGATGAGAGGGGAGGTAAAGGAAAGCCTTGTAGAAGCAAAGCTCCTAAAGGTACAGAGTCCTTTATATTTGATCTTAAGAGATGGTCAGTGCTGATTACCTGTCATCCACACACGTACTTTGCAAGATAGGAGAAAGGAGTTAATCCTTTCTTTCTTTTGGTTTCTTTTTGGAAGGGGAAAACTTATAGGAGCCATAGCTATGTAGAAGGACAGTTTTTTAATAAGTAAGACCTTCAGTAAAAGAAAGCAGTTTTCTCCTGATTCAGATTGGCATTAATGGGGATATCAAAAGTTTCATTTAATACTCATTGATCTGAGGGGTTGCCAACAACTAAATGAGTTAGTATGTTTGTTTTTAATGCCAAGTTGCTTTATAATGTCAAAGAACCAGGTCTGATGGACTTAGGGGATTAGAAAGGACTGAAGATGGTAATCATGGAGGTGGATACATGCTTAGGGCTTTCTGACACCTGTCAGTCAATCAGCCAGCAAATAGATTTTGAGTACCAGTGATAATTCAAGGCATTGAGGAAGGGAGTAATGAACAAGATAGACACCATCCCTGCTCCTAAGGAGCTCTCATTCTAGTGGCAAACACCATAGACAGAGAAGTTCAGATTCTATTAATACAGTAAAAATAGGATATTACAGTAGAAAGTGCCTTGGGGAATGGGGAGCTGCTTTAGTTAAGATTGGTCAGAGAAGGCCTCAGACAAATTGTCATTAAAATTGATTCTCAAATGACAGGAAGAGGCAGCTATTAAAGAAATGGAGGAAGTGGTTTAAACACAGAAGCGATGGTCTCTGAAGAGACACTGCATCAGATTTAAGTTTATCATGTTTGGGGTACAAAAAAGAAAGCCAGTGGGGTTGGAAATGGTGAACAAGGGAGGGATGAGATGAGGTTGGAGGAGTAGGTAAAGGAGATTGGAGGGTCTTAAGAAAGCAGGTGACGTGATCTGATTTTTGTTTTTAAGAGGTCACTCTAGTTGCTGTGTGGAAAATGAAATGTAGTATTTGCCACATTAAGGTAGAGAAGTGAAGAATATGAGGAATAATAAAAAGTTTAATTTAATTTTAGAATAATCCAAGTTTTAATATACTGAAGTTTTAAAATAGGAAGTTACTTTTTGGATGTAAACATAAGTATTTATGTGTTGACTTAAGTTGTGGATCTCTTTTATTAGAAATCCTCTAATTTTTCAAGTTTCAAATGGCCTTTTATGTTAATTTGGCATAAATAGTACATCATAGCTGATATATATGTATATTGGATCCTTAAGAATTCATATGAATAAAAATAAGGATTTTCCCCCCAGCACAGAAATTTCACTTCAGCAGCGACTAGAGTACATTGCTCGTGCCATTCTTAGTGCCAAAAGTTCCACTGCCATTTCATCAATAGCTGCAGATGGTGAATTCCTTCATGAATTAGAAGAAAAAATGGAAGTAAGTGCTAACGACACTTAAGTCTTATCCACATTGATTAGTAGCCACGTGTTAGTCCACTTTCTCTCTTCCCCTAGTAGATAATAGGTCTGTAGCAGTCAGTATTAATTTTAATCTCTTATGCTTTCTTTTTTTCTTTTCATATTTATATATAAATCTTTTAAAAGATTTTAATGATACAGCATTTGGGTCCTAGGACATTGCTGTAATCTAAAAGTTTTCTCTATGGCATTTCTAAAGATTTATTCTAACTGTTCTGATACCAAGCAGATTATGTCACATTCACTGTTTATTCTGGAGGCTAATAAGTAGATGTGTAGAGTGGGCTAAACCGCCTTTACTAAGAGACACAAAAATGTATAATGGTCCCCATACAAAAGCTTATTTCTCATTCACAAAATCCAGAGTTGGTGTTCCTGATTGGCATATGACTTTCTTCCACTTGGTTGATGTCAGTTCCCAAGTTCTATTTTCTGACTCTACCATTCCAGTGGCCTTAGCTTTTTCTTTGATCAAAGGGAGGAAGGGTGAAAAGAGCATGTAAGAAGCACATTCACTCTTAAAAAACCTCAACCCTGAAGTGGCATACTGTACTTCTGTTCACATTCCTTTGAAGAGAACATAGTCTTACGGCCATACTCCTAGCAGAGGAGGCCGGGAAGTAGAGGCTGGCCATTTTGTCTGGCTATAATCATGGACAAAACAGGTGTTGGTGAGTAGCAAAGGCTCTCTGTCACAGCACAGTCCCTATGTAATCTTCTATGTTGTAATGAAGGGTTGCTAGTCTGTTATGATAAAAGTCTTTATTTATACATTTTTTTAAAATTCGGGTAGAATTGACATATAACAGTTGCTAAGGTATACAACATAATGATTAAATTTTTCTATATATTGCAAAATGATCACCACAGTGAGTCTAGTTAGCATCTGTCACCATAAATGATTACAAAAAAAATTATTTTCTTGTGATGAGGACTTTTTAAGACCTACTCTTTTAGCAACTTTCAAAATATGCAGCACAGTATGATTAACTATAGTCACTATGCTGTTATTTATATATTATTTTTATTTTAACAAACTTAAAGTCAGATACTAGGAGTCATTCCTTCAAGTACCTGGTGATTTATCATGAAGAACTTAAGATTTGATTTTTTTCTACCCAAACTAGGTTGCTAGGATCCAACTTCAGATACAAGAGACACTACAAAGGCAATATTCCCATCATTCTTCTGTACAGGATGCAATTTCTCAGCTGGACTCTGAGCTAATGGACATAACTAAGGTAATAAAAAAGCAAGTGAAATTCCTATAGTAGTCACCTACTATCTTGTTTCTTTTGCATTTTATTTTGTGTTTAAGATAAGCCGTCTTTGGAAGCACATCACTGGGCTGACACATCATCACTGTGGTATCTCACTCTTAGAAAAAGCTGTTTCTCTTTCCAGGCCAATTTCTATCAAGAATCTATCAGCCTCACATGGGGCTTTGTTAAAACTCCTGCCACCTATTTTATGGCCTTGTTTCTTATCTTGAAAAAGTAATTTATCTTTGCTTAACTCTCCAAGCCTCTCCCACTCTGTACCCTTCTGAACAGTTTCTTTTTCAATTATTCATGGACATTTCTCTAAGTACCCTGAAGCACCGTTAGATTTGTCAGTATTTCTGTGATTTTTCAAATCTTAGTTTAGACAACACTAATTCTAAAAGAAATGTCATTGCAGTATCTTGCTCTCAGCCAAGAAAAAAAAAGGCACACATATTTAAATCTGTTTAAATGTGTTTTCCATGCATTTACCTTTTTTTTTTTTTTTTTTTTTTTTTTTGGGGGTATGTGAGCCACTCACTGTTGTGGCCTCTCCCGTTGCGGAGCGCAGGCTCAGTGGCCATGGCTCACGGGCCCAGCCGCTCCACGGCACGTGGCATCCTCCCGGACCGGGGCATGAACCCATGTCCCCTGCATCGGCAGGCAGACTCTCAACCACTGCGCCACCAGGGAAGCCCGCATTTACCATTCTTAATCTGGCATTACAACCACCTACGTGTCATCACATCTTTGTATCATATTTTTGGAACTTTAGATAAAATCTTTGGTTACTTTTAACTTTGAGGGAGTTCTTCACTGTTAATTTCTGAATACTAATCTCTGGTTGGATGTTGGCATTTTCTTCTACAGCTTTATGGGGAATTTGCTGACCCATTTAAACTTGCAGAATGTAAACTTGCAATAATTCATTGTGCCGGTTATTCAGACCCTATACTGGTGCAGACGCTTTGGCAAGATATCATAGAGAAAGGTAAGTGTTCATTTATAGGTGTATTAGCTGTACGTTATTTAGTGACTTAGTAGAAGAGTGAATGCAAGCTGTTAACAGTCATATATTTAGGGCTCATGAGAATTGTATATACCTAAACAGAGGGAAGTAGAGGGTACTTGATATGGCGGAGGGTGATCCTGTAGAGAATGATCCCAGTAAATATTTGAGAGGACCCTCAGAAAAGATGTGTCGTTTTTGTGGTTTATACTGCTTAATAAGGGATTCTGAGGCACTTAGCTCGGAATCTCATAACTAGTGCCCTGGTAAATGGAAAGTATATCAGACAGTAACAGAAACACAGAATCTGCTCATTATATTAACGTGCATAGAAGTTCTAGTATTTTGAACCTTGAAACGGAATAAAATAGTCAATTTATTTTATTTATTTATTTAGGCTGCACCAGGTCTAAGTTGCAGCGTGTGAGATCTGTAGTTGCAGCATGCATGTGGGATCTAGTTCCCTGACCAGGGCTCGAACCCGTGTCCCCTGCATTGGCAGGCAGATTCTTAACCACTGCGCCACCAGGGAAGTCTCAAAATAGTCAATTTAAAATTTTCACAATAAAAACAGTTTGGGTTTCTGATGACATGTCTCTTTCTTACAGAACTGAATGAAAGCGTGACATTGAGCTCCCCAGACAGGATGCATGCTCTTAGTCTCAAGATTGTGCTCCTTGGCAAGATGTATGCCGGCACACCTCGTTTCTTTCCTCTAGGTAAGCCATAACCTTAGCTACGGTCATGGGGCTTTTATCTTTTTGTTTTGATGGTTTTCTTCATTGACATGGAAAAATAATGGTTTGTAGGGCAAAATCATTTTGTTGTTGCTATTTATTAGCTCTGCAGTTTCATTCTACCTCTCCAGAAAGAAACACCTCCAAAGAATAGCAGAATTTGTTGATGAATAGTTGGGTATAAAACTCTCTTTGCTTGACCTTCCAAGTTGATATATCTATCTTGGGATAGTCTGACTAACAGACCGTAGTGGTTATGTTATTGGTAACCCTATACACACTTGAAGAGAAGGGGAAAATAGCTGATGTTTTTGTGCATGGATGATCTGTGATTGATTCAACTGCTCCCTATTATATTGGGGGCATATTTTTCTTTAAAATAGCAAGTAGTTGTGTTAAAAATGTAATTTTTGTGAACTCCTTTCTTAACCAGATATACTATTTGTTATGTAGGAGACTCTGTTATAAGCCATTTGCCAACCTATAATGTCTTCCTCGGTTGTAAAACAATAGACTCAACATAAATATATTCATACAGTAGAATGTTAAATAATCACTTTGTGTTTTTGAGAAATGTTGAGAAACATGAAAACGCTTATAACATAACATCAAATTGTTTTTAAAATATGAAGATCCAGACTTGTTTATAGACCTTCTCTGATTTAGGGTTTATTCCCTGGACATGGTAAGAAATAAAACTATTATAATCATACCCTTATTTCTTGTCAGTACAGTACTAAACACTGCCATGCCAAAAAAACAAAAAACTGCCATGCCATTTCATTGATCAGGAAAATAAAGAGAAAATAAAGAGCAACTGTATATATATGTCTTATGAGTATGTGAAACCTGACAATTTTAATAGCAAAAAGGCCACATTGTACACAATCCCTTTTGAGCGTATTTCCGCTTTGACTTAAGAGTTTTAATTGTTGAACCCAGTAAAATTTAGGGTAGAAGAGGCCTTCCTTTTTCTATCACTCTCTCAATGGCAAACAGGTTCCAGGGGGCTTCAAACTAGAACAAATTGAGTCTTTAGAATTTTTATTACCTTTCCAGAATCTCTGTATGGTAACTTATATGGGAGATGCAGGTTCAGTGGCACTTTTTTCAGTGACTCCTCTTGCCCATGGTTACTCACATTGGTCAGTCTCAGATTTTAGGTACCATAAATAAGAATTTGATTGTTACTGTTAAGATCTTATTTATGGGACTTCCCTGGTGGCACAGTGGTTAAGAATCCGCCTGCCAATGCACAGGACATGGGTTCGATCCCTGGTCCGGGAAGATGCCGCTTGCCACGGAGCAACTATGCCCGTGTGCCACAACTACTGAGCCTGTGCACTAGAGCCCGTGAGCCACAAGAGAAGCCACTGCTATGAGAAGCCCGCGCACCGCAACAAAGAGTAGTAGCCCCCGCTGGACGCAACTAGAGAAAGCCCACACACAGCAACGAAGACCCAATGCAACAATCAATCAATCAATTTAAAACAAAAAATCTTATTTACGATGTAACAGGTAGTAAAAAGTGAGACTGGGACCACAATTACAATCATCAAAATAAATAATTTATGAATCTTATGAATATTACATTTAATATTTCTAAAATCTAGATGCAGTAGTGCTTCTTTCCTGAAAAGCTGTTAAATTGAAGATATAGTATTTCAAGATATTAAATATTATCAGTGGGTCCTCTCCAATAGTGGAATTGTGAATGGTCTCTATTTTCTTCTTGTCCTTTTGCTGTTTTCCAAATTCATTATAATAAGTTTTTTCTCTAATAGCTTTACAGTGTGTAATTGAATGGTTTTAGCATATTTACAGAGTTGTGCAACCATCATCACAATTAAATTTAGACCGTTTTCATCACCCCAAAAAAGAAATTATATCCACCTTCAGCCCTAGGCAACCACTGTTCTACTTTCTATCTCTTTAGGTTTTCCTATATTTCGGTATATGCCTTATTTTTTATTAAAAGAATTTTTTAAATTGTTCTTTAAAAGATTTTCCTGTAGAAACTGTTCAATTATGAGTAAGGCCTACTTTTTAGTATCAAGAGTTAACAATTCTACAACAACAAAAAAATGGTAATTATATGAGGTGAAGGACATGTTAACTAACCTTATTGTGGAAAACATTTTGCAATACGTATGTGTATCAAATTATCACATTTATACCTTAAACTTAGACAGCGTTACATGTCAATTATATCTCAGTAACGCTGGGCACAAAAAAAGAGTTAACAATCCCAACTTCTGGTCCTTTTCTCTCCCCAGATTTTATTGTGCAGTTCTTAGAGCAGCAAGTTTGTACTTTGAACTGGGATGTGGGTTTTGTGATACAGACAATGAATGAAATTGGAGTGCCATTACCTAGACTACTGGAAGTATATGATCACTTGTTCAAGTCACGGGTAAGGAAAATATTAAATAAAATAAAATAATTTATTTAGTTAAATCAGTTAACTTTCTAGATACAGGAGTATTTTGCTTGTGTGTTTGTAAGTATCTCATCTAATACAGTTGTATCAGAAATTTGCTTCATTGGTTAAGCAAATTATGCTTCAGACTTTTTTAAAACCAGTAATGAGAGTTGCTTTGCAATATATCATGATAAAAATCAAATATTTTTAATATTAATTAACATAATTATATATGCTTTACTTTTAGTGGAACAGGCTAAATATATGAAGAATGATCATTTACTATAAAGGAACAAAATATCAGTGTATTTATTCACTGTAACCTCATCTAAAATATCAGTGCTTAAAGATCTTTCCACAAGAAAAGAAAATTTAACTATATATGCTGACAGGTGGTAACTAGACTTACTATGGTGATCATTTTGCAGTGAATGCAAACAATGAATCACTGTATTGTACACCTGAAACCAATATAATGTTATATGTCAATTATACCTCAGTTTTTTTTAAAATGATCTGTCTCACCATATTTAACCTTATTGGACTGTATATTTTGTAATTTTTATCCTAAGATCAAAAACCAAACAAAACCTGTTGAACTGGATTGTGTTTAATACTAGTCATGATTATAGTACCATCATCAAAACATTCATACAGTGCTTTACAAGGCACTTGTATATCTCATTAAAACTCAATGAGCCCATGATGGAAATGAGCAAGTAGTAGTATCCCCATCTTCTACTACATCTGACAAGGGCAGAGAGCTTAAATAACCTGCTCAAGTCACATGGCTAGTAATGATGAAGCCAGAACTAGAATTAAGATTCTCTGACTCCTGATTTAGTCTCTTATTCACACTATCAGATTAAGTCTGCATAAGTTCAGAGTAAAAATGGTGTCACAGCCAATAGGAAGAGATGGATTTTCTTCTCTTACTTCAGGTTCCTAAGCAGGAAATTTGTATGCTCTCCACAGTGGATCGATACATCAGATATTCATCCTAAATCACAATGAAGTTTTCAGTGCTATTCATTATTAACCATAATCAGATATATAATTTAGTAAACACATAATATTAAATGTTTATTTTAATATCAGTAAATTTTGCTTTGGACATTGATAACTATTTTAACTAACATAAATGATTAAAAAATCAGTTGACACAATTTGCCTTACAACTCATGATGTATTTTTTCTTTATAGGATCCATTCTGGAACAGAATGAAGAAGCCACTGCACCTTTTGGATTGTATACATGTACTGTTGACAAGATATGTTGAAAATCCTAGCCAAGTTTTAAATTGTGAGAGGTCAGTATGAATTAGATATAGTTTATTGTATACCAAAGGCTTTTAAATGCACCTAATAAATACCTGGGTAACAAATTTGGAGACAGTGGGGCACGATATGGAAACTAAAAGAAGTATGCGAGATTTAAGCTCTTGTGCATGTATGCAATAACTATTTGAATGATATCAGTCAGTATTTATGAAAGGTTAGAGTTTTTTCCATTTTTCAACCCTTGTCCTGAAGTCTTTCTAAAGGTGGCGGGATAAAATTAATGAATTACTCCTAAACTCCTTTCACTTTGAATTAGTGGCCTAGGAAGTTCAATTATGTATTTGTGATATTAATGGCCATTTCAAGATATATTTGTTTGAAAAGGCCAAATGAATGTAAATAATATTAATTTAAGGAATCATCCCTTACTGCCTCCTTCTCATTATAATAATCTTCAAAAGGGAAATGGTGGTGATGTGGTAATCCATCTACCCCCTGAGTTTCCTTCTCTATTTTCATTTATTTGCCATTTACTTAATTACATGATCCTTGCTGTCATGTGGGACTATAATAAGTAAGGTTAGCAGAAGTTGAAGGGAAGTCTTACAGGAGGAAATGTTTCTAAATATGTAGATGGTTGATCAGGTGTCTTTTTCATTACAGGAGAAGATTCACAAATCTCTGCCTGGATGCCGTTTGTGGTTATCTGGTTGAGCTCCAGTCTATGAGCTCCTCCGTAGCAGTACAGGCCATCACTGGGAATTTTAAATCTCTTCAGGCTAAACTAGAACGGCTTCATTAATTATTGTAATGTATTTTCATCCATGTGTTTTGATCTGTAAAATAAAAGCTCAGCTGGGTCCAGATTTCAGGTGCTATAAATCTAAGAATTTAAGAATAATTTTAGTAGAAACAATGTTTTTAATAAGTGGCTGGTATCAGCAGACAGTACATTTGCAGGTGAATTTTTTTTTACTACATAATACTATTTTGTTTTTTAATAATCAGGTTAAACAAATGAAATAAGATTATGATTTTAACACAAAGATAAAAAAATAAAAAACTCTTATTTTGAATTTATAGTATTCATTTTCAAGTTAGTTCTAGTGTCAAAACTTAAATAGGCTAGCTGAGCAGGTCCAGTCCCATAATACTAGATTCTACAACAGTTCCTAAATAGGCAAATAAACACTGTCTCTTTTTAGAAGTTATTTAGGCTTTGGGTTTAACCTTGGAAAGAAATTTCTTCCAACTACTGATTTGGTCAGTTACAGTCCTTGTAATACACACCTGGTTGTTTTTTGAGCAAGTGATAAACTTGTAACTAATGTTCTGTGTCTTAAAAACCTATGCAGGGAGATACTGTTTTCCCTCAGTGTTCACCTAGCTCTTCTTTGGCCTGGGACTACTGATTCCTTTAAAGCAGTGGTTCTCAAAATGTACACACCAAACTATGACATCAGCATCATCTGGGAATTTGTTAGAAATTCAGATTCTCCAGCCCAGTCCCAAACCTACTGAACCGAAAACTTTGGGATGAGTCCCAGCACTCTGTTTTAATAAGCCCTTCAGGACATTCTGGTACATGTCAGGTTTGAGAACCATTGCATTAGAGGATACAACTAGTTTATGGATTGAGCTCCCTATCTGATTCCTCCTCCTCCCTCCCCCATCAATAACCACAACACACGTTTCACCCAAGACACACCATATATGAAGCAAAATAGTAATATAAAAATAGTTTAAAAATAGTTTTTAATCTTCAAAATTAGGATGACAAAACCAAGTGCCCCCAAAGTCATGGCAACAGGGAGGGAGAAAAAAGTGAGAATGACCAGGTCTAACAAAAAAGCAAGAACATGGACTCCTTTCCTCTTACCTTTTATGCTACCAAGAGTAATTACCTTCTACCTATTGTCACTAATGTATGTCTAACAATTTTCAAAATACATTTTGAAAATATTTTTCCTTCCACTTTTACTTTTTTCCCAAGACCATGGGTTGCCCTTTCCGTATTCTCTTAGAATTTAACTCCCTTTCTCCTATAATCTTCTAATTTATAATATTTACTAGAATGTTAAAATACCACTCATTAGGTACCACTACCTCTCATGTTTTTCAGCTTTTCAGTTCCCTGAGTTTAGATTTTTTGAATATGTGAAATGAATGTATGCTACACATTGTTAAGTCTGTAAATTTAAAATTCTGTCATGTCTACTTAAAATGAAAGTCTTGCTTAAATACTGTACTTAGCCACAACTCCAGTTCTGCTACATGTTTTTGTTTTAAGCACATTTACATATAAGCACATTAATATATATGCTAAGTATACTGAACTGAAAATAATGAAGCTACATCTTTCATTAGGGCTAATGTGGCTAAATGGTCCTTAAGAATCAGAAATCTGAACCCTGTTTCTTTCATTTACATAACATCTTTTGAGAGGGTTTAAGAATTCTAACCACACAGCAGACGTTTTCAGTATCCTTTGGAGGGTGGTAAGATTTCTAAGAGAAATTAAGATCCCCTCCTTCTTTTTAGTTGTCTAGAAGAGTGTTTCTAAAACTTTAACATTCATAAGAATCACTTCAATAGCCTGTTAAAACAGATGTTCCACCTTCAATGTGATGATGAAACTGGTAAGTGGATCAGACTTGGAGTAGCATTGTTCTAGCACATTCATCCACTTCATTTATACACTTTGTATTTGGTGTTCATTCAACACAGTATTTCTTTATAGTGACTATTAAACATATATAGGCAATGAATAATAAGTGGAACGTATGAAACAGTGCATTCATTGTAGGCAGTGAGGAGTCACTGAAAGTCTTGGTTTTGACATATATTTATATTTTAGATCATTTTAGTATGGCAAAATGTTTAGGAAAGAGAAAAATCTATTTTGAGTTAACTGTACAAGGTATGGGATATTGATCCTGAAATTCATGAAATGTATGTTCAGCATTTCTTTAGTATAATATACCTGGACTTACTAGTGACTTGTTCATTGAAAACCTCTCTGCTAACCACATAAACTTCCTCCACTTATATGTTTTATAGTTGATTTCATCTCAGGACTCACATATTACTCATTCTCTTCCTCAGGATACCTCCCATCTCCATCTTTTTTCCTCTTATTCATGAGGGGGAAATTATGATAGTGATACAGTTGTATCAGGAAAATAAAGAAATAGAACATTGAATCTGAAGGTCTTGAAAGGCACATGCTTTCCTTTCATTTTCTATCAGTTTTTTCATTTAAATTCTCTTACTAATAAAAAAATTTTGCAGAATATTTTTGAGCCTTATAGTAAATCATTTAAACTTTTTGAAGTTTTATTTTCGTCATAAGGAAAGTTTCCTCATAAGGAGATTGAAGCTAAATGATAAGACTTTTTTAAATCCAAAATTTGTAAGAACTAATGTAATCTATTTTTATTCAGTTTTGTTGTTCTGCTTCACATATTAGTTAAAATACTATTGTTTTTACTCTTTTTCATTTCAAATAAACATTTCTGCTGCATTATGGCATGTTTGAAATTAAACATTTGTTTTAGAACTCAGCTATGCTTCCTGTATTTTGGCAGCTCCCATTAGCAGGAAGAATAACTCTTTTTAAGTTTAATCAGTTTGCCATGTGGGAACTAGGACTATCATATCTGCAGCCCACACCTGAGTGTCTACTTGTGTAATCAACATTTCCACTTGAATGACTGCCAAAGATACTCATTCAAAATGTGACCAAATCTGCACTCATTCCTCTATCTCTCTGCCCTTTGCCTCCTCCTGTTCCTCCTCTGTTTTCTACCTGTCTTTATCATCTGATTACTCAAATCAGAAATACAGGTCTCATCTTTAAATTCCTTCCCCTCCCTCCAAATCCAGTTGGTCACCAATTTCTAAGCAAGTCTATTTATTTGATGAAGAAATATCTGTCCAGTTACCTCACTATTTTAGTTTTTTAGAGTTTAATCAGGTACCCTATTTCACTTGGATGCTTACAATAGTGTCTAAGTGGTTTTCCCGCCTCTCATTGGACCCTGTCTTCATTTTCTCCCTGCACTAAAGTCAGTTTTCTTTTAAAAATGTAAACCTAAATGTATTATACCCCCACCTTCTCCTTCAGAAGAAATTTCAGATTCCTGGTGTGACGTACAAGGACTCCACCGAAGTTGACAAAAATAAAAAAAAAAAAGAATCTCAAGTTAATTTAAGCAAACAAAGAATTTATTTGCCCTCAAAACTAAGAAGTCCAAGTATAGAGCTACTTCCACGTGACTAGATCCAGAACCTCAATATCTTCACGGCTGTCTCCAGGTCAATTCTGCTTTTCTTTCCATCTTTATTTGTTTGTCTTTCTACAGTTTGCTCCATAAGCCCTGGGAGAGTGCAGGCAGTGTCAAGTTACTTCATTCTGTTTAATCTAACCCAGAGGTATATTCAACAGACAAGTCCGAGGAAGGGTGCTGATTTACCCAGCTTGAGTTATGGACTCAGTTTTGGGGTACAGAGTCATTCCCAAACTATACGTAACAGGAAAGAAGTGCTTTCCTAAAGAACTGGATGTTCGGCACACATCAGTCCACTGTATCTGTCCACCTCCCTTACTTACCACTAAATTCCTTGTGTTTTGATGAAAACTATAAAAGCATAGATCCAAGAAACTCAATGAATTCAGAGTAGGACAGACACAAAATCACACCTAAGCACAATATAATCAAATTCTCAGCAAACTAAAAATAAAAGAACTTCCTCAGCCTGATAAAAGACCTCTATGAAGAAATGTACAGCTAACAATCCACTTAATGGTGGAAGACTAAACACTTTTTCCTTAAAGTTGAGAACAAAATACGAATGTTTCTATTCAACATAGGATTGGAGGTCCTGATCAGTGCAATTTGCAAAGGAAATGAAACACGAATTGGAAAAGCAGAATTAAAGGTGTGCTTATTCACAATTATGTAAAAAATCCTATAGAATATACAGAAAACAGTAGAACTACTAAGTAGAACAAACTGCTAGAACTAGTTTAGCAAGATCACAGGATATAAGGTCAATGTATAAAAGCCAACTGCATTTCAATATACTAGCAGCAAGTAACCAAAAAATCTTAAATACTGAAAATAGCATGAAAAACCATTAAATAAGATTAATTTTAACCAAATATATATAAGACCTATACACTGGAAACTATAAGATAGTGCTGGAAGAAATTAAATGAGAAATATACAATACTCATGGATTGGAAGACTAAACTTATTAACCATGAATTCTCATCAAATGGATATAGAGATTTGATGCACTGTCAACCAGATTTCCAGTACACTTTCTTGTAGAAATTGACAAGCTGATTCTAAAATTTATATGGAAATCAGAGGTCCTAGGATAGCCAAAACAGTTTTGAAAAAGAATAAAATTTGAGAATATACTCTGACTTCAAGATTTTGTTATAAAACTACAGTAATCGTGATAATGTGGCATTGGTATAAGGATATACACATCAATGGAACAAAGTAAGACTACAGAAGTAGATGCACACATATATGGACAATGGATTTTCAACAAAGGTGGTAAGGTAATTCAGTAGGAGAAAGAACAGTCTTTTCAATAAATGGTGCAGGAACAATTGAATATCTACATGGAAATAAATCCTCAACCCTTACCTCATAACATATACAAAAATTACCTTAATATGCATCACAGACCTAAACATAAAACGTAAAATTATGAAACTTCTGGAAGAAAACTGGATTAAAAAAATCTTGTGACCTTAGGCAGAATTCTTAGGACAAAAAAAAAACCCCAAATCAGAAAAAGCTGATAAATTGAACTTCACTGTAATTTAAAACATCTGCTCTTAAAAAAAACACATTAAGAAAATGAAAAGCCAGGCCACAGACTGGAATAAAATACTTGCAAACCACAGATCTGATAAAACACTTGATCTCAATAAAGAGACAACCCCCACCCCCCCAAAAATAAATGAGGGCAAAATGATTTGGATACTTTACCCAAGAAAATATCTGAATGGCAAATAAGCCCACAAAAACATGCTCAACATTGTTACAA